GGAGCACAAAGCACCTTCTGTGCCGGCCCTGTGGGGGAGAGTCATGCTGTGGCCCCTGCCCCATTAATAAGGCCTTTGTGGAGCTGTTGGCTCCTGGCCCCAGAGAAGCCCGATGGATGCGCTGTCCCATGGCAGGGCATAGCTGAGCCTGCCTCAGTCTCTCCATAGTGAGGCCCTGGGGTGCAGGAGCCCAAGTCAGCAGAGGGGATGGCAGGGGGGCACGGCGGGGGGGAGGGCACGCCTCAGGCGAGGTGTTTCCAGTAGAGGTGAGGGGATGAGGCCTCATGGGTGCAGTTCCGGTCTCCCACTTCAGAAGATGAATTTGAACTGGACTCGGTGCAGAGACGGGCGACTAGGCTCAAGGAGCAGGGAACCAGGCGATGGTGTAGGGAGAGACGAGAGCAATCTGTACATACGTCAGGGGGCTACACACCAGGCAGGGAGAGGAGTTATTTACATTAAGGGCCCATGTTGGCACAAGAACAAATGGCTGTAAACTGGCCAACAACATGTTTAGGCTTGAAACTAGGTTAAGGTTTTTGCCCATCTGGAGCAGCCTCCCAAGGGGAGCAACGGGGGCAAAAACCCTAACTGGCTTCAAGACTGAGCTTGACGAGTTTATGGAGGGGATGGGATGATGAAACTGCTGACAGAGGCACGTGGCCCACGCACACCTGTTATTAGCAAATATCTCCAATGACTGGTGATGGGACACTAGATGGGGAGAGCTCTGAGTTACTACGGAGAATTCTTTCCCCGGTGTCTGGCTGGTGAGTCTTGCCCACATGTTCAGGGTCTAACTGATCACCATATCCGGCTGGGAAGGAATTTCCCCCCAGGTCAGATTGGCAGAGACCCTGGGGGGTTTTCACCTTCCTCTGCAGCCTGGGGCACGGTCACTTGCTGGTTTGAAGTAGGGTAAATGCAGGGTTCTCTGTAACCTTGATGTAACCATGATTTGAGGATTTCAGTAACTCAGCCAGAGTTTCTGGGTCTGTTACTGGAGGGGGTGGGTGAGGTTCTGTGACCTGCGATGTGCAGGAGGGCAGACTAGAGGATCATGTTGGTCCCTTCTGGCCTTGGACTGTATGGCCAGCTGCTGTCCTCACCAGTGTGAGGTGCCCAGGCTTTTGGGGGCACACCCCCAGGTTCCCTGCACTGCTGTGAGCTGTCACTCTACGAATTCTTTCCCAGTGAATTGAGGGAGAGCCTGTCTGTCCTTTCTGGGCCCACGGGGGGAACTGTGGGAAGGCTCTGGAGGACGAGCCGCACTCAGGCGGAGCTAGCTTGTGTCCGCACTGCGGAGTAGCTGTTAGTAGCTGGGGAGCTGGAGTCACTCGGGTGCCAGCCTGCTCCCCTCTCAGCCTGCCAGCCCAGAGGGTAGCCCCACCGCTCTTGAGCGAAGGGGCTCAAGTTAGGGGCAATCCTTGAGGGCACTGAAGCCCATCCCCATTCCCCTCTCGCCCTCCCTCTCGAGTCTCAGGGCTTCGACTGAAGGAGCTCCCCATCCCTGGGGTCCTAAGAGAGCTTATTGGAGGCCAGCTCCCCAAGCAGCATGTCTCTGCTGGGCCAGGAACCAGGCGATGCTGGCCCTTGGCAGTGGGTGTGTCCCAGGTCCTGGGCTGCCCAGAGAGCACCAACCCCCCAGGCCCTCGGACCAGGGGGAGCCCACGAGGGAAGGGAAGAAGGAGACAGGCCTTGCAAATGGGCAGAGCTTTTCAGGTCCCTCTGTTTCACTGCCCTCCCAAATTCATTCTTAATTAACACAGCTGCAGATCAGTCCTGAGACGAAAGGTTATAGCAGAGGGAGCCCAGCCTGGGCCTGCCCAGGGCCCCCCCTTCCTGCTCCTCATTGAATTGGAGTCCTTGGCCGGCTGCCTTCAGCTTCACATACAGCTTCTGGGGCCTTCTGCTTAGCTTGTGCGACTCTCAAAATCAGCGTGATCACCCCGGAGTCCTGTGTCAATCACCGGTACCTGCTCTAACTACTGGTGTCTCCCAGAGGTCCTGACTCCCAGGTCCCTGCTTTAGCCCCTGGATAACTCTCTTCCAGACGTGGGAACAGACCCCAGTGGGCCTGAATTCCAGCGCCCTGCTCTCTCAGCTAGACTCAGTAGCATTAGAAGCTTCCCTGAGAAAAAGCACAATAAAAATACAAAAAACGGTCCGTAAGTTTCCACAGCTTTTACAGAACCGCTGGGCTGGAAACCAAGCCCAGAGCTTTCAAACAGACACTTAATTTAAGTCTTTCTTAATTAGCTTCTCAGCGGTCTGGCTAAGCTTTCCTTTTAAAAGAAATTCTCAGTTCAAGATAGAACAAGGGTCTGTCGTCCAGCTGACTTTGATGGTAACCAGCCAGGATGGCAGCAAATACAGCTGGCCATCACTGACTGGAGAAGACGCCATGTGTGGAGTGCTGGGAATGGGCTGGAGGAGAACCAGGGTACGTCTACACTGGTGCTGGAGGCATCCTTTCCAGCTCACGTGGGCACACCGGAGCTCGATGGACTGCGCCGGTACACTAAAACTAGCCGTGTAGCTGCAGTGTGCTCCTGGCGGGGAGCTGTCCCGAGCACGATCCTGTCCGAAAACCCCAGTACGTACGCAGGGCTGCTTGGCCCTGCCGCCACTCGCCCCACCACTGCTGCACGGCTAGTTTGAGTGCCCTGGCTCCGTCAAAGCAAGTGCACGCACATCTACCGCGCAGGAAGTTACGTGGCCAGCGCCCGCGTAGACGGACCCTCAGATAACAAAACTTGAATGGGACTTAAGGGTTTGGTTATAGTTAGGCACGTGCTTTGCTAAGTGGGGCCCTGAATGTCAACTGTAAAATGCCCCTGTGCTCAGCCCCCACCCACACAGAGACCTGCTGGCAGGATCACAAACACTCGGGTTCTTGGAAGCCAAAGGTTTCAATGGCAGCCTCCATACTGGAGAGATGAGAACGGGAGCCAGTGACATGGTGTGGGATCGCTATACGTTATCAAGGGGGCAGTTGTGTCTGTGTTTGTAATTCAGATTAAAGTGCAGACGCTTCAAAGTGCTCTAGGGACACAGAGAATCCCCAGAACACTTCGCTCAAAATTTCAAAAGAGGCTCATTAATTATAATTGAAATGATTATTTATTAATTTCTATCACAGGAGTGCTTAGAGAGCCTGACTGAGATCTGGGCACTGCAGTGCTGGATTCACCACATACACAGCACAAGAGACAGGCCCGGCCCTGCCAGCATATAGTCTGAAGAGACAAGAAAGAGAAAGGTTGGGAGGGGAAACTGAGGCACAGAGCTGGGCAGGGACTTACCAAAGGCCACCCAGCAGGTCGGGGCAGAGCTGGGAACAGAGCCCAGGTCTCCTGACCCACAGCCCATGTTTGAAGTCATATGATAATTCAAGAAATGATTCAAACAGCTTAATTCAAACTTTTAAACAGCCGATTGGAGCTAATCATAAACATGTTAATAGCCTAATTTTTTGGAGGGGGGAGGCAAGCAGGGGGTGTGAAGGCATGTCTACGCTCGAAAAAATGTTTTCAACTGTGTTAGCTAACACATTTGAATGGACACAATTTTAGACAGGCCTTTGCACCTGGTGTTGACAGGGCCCATTGTGTTAAACATGTTACATGACCATTTCTCCAGCCATGTCCTGTGAATCAAGAGAGCTGCAAGCAGAATGGGTCCCAGCCTTGGCGAAGGACTTGCAGGCAGGTTTTCCCAGTGTGTGCAAGCTGAGAGAAAAGAAAAGACTGGCATGGTCCCAAGCATGTGTTGTCTCTTCGCTAAGGAGGAAAGTAAACTGCAGCCAGCAGATGTGTACTGTGCAATGAAATACACGACATGCCCCGGTTGCCGGGACTCCTTCAAGCGTCACTGGTGTTATTTTTGAAAAGGTATTTTCCTTTAAACCAGCCAGCGCCCTTGCTATACCGAATCTTTCCTTACCCGAAAGGAAATCTTTCCCACCCCAACTCCTCCAAGTATTTCAGCAGCTCAGAGTAGGGGCTGGGTCCCAAAGCCAGTGCGTGCACATGGCTTGGCTCCATCTCCAGCCAAAGCAGAGAGTTCTGACAAGGGTAATCACACCGCCTGGTCTCAAAGCTGTCCCTGGTTTGGAGTTCCTCCATGTCTCCAGAGGGCCTTAGCTGCACAACATCATCGTCTGGGAAACCAGCTCTGTGCAGATTGGTCCCCAGAAGCAAAAGCATCCTGAAGACAATCCACACACATCCATGCACAACCCCCCCCCACACACACACACACAAAACACACACCCTTTGCACACACACATGCACTCCCAAAACACGCACCCTTTGCACACAGGTGCATATCCCATACACAACCCTATCACAATATACACACATGCACACCCTTTGCACATATACACACAAACACACAGCCCTCACATGCGCACACCCCAGACATTTGTTCACCCTTCTCACCCCCCATAGAAAACCATGCACACCCTTCTCACAAAACACACACAGCCACATGCCCCCCTCTTGCACACCCATCCCTTGTTGAGCAGAACTCCTTTCACCCAGGAAGGCCCTGCTGCGTCCCTGGGGACTGGGGCTCGACCTGTGCTTCAGAGGAAAAGGCCACATTGACTCTTACGAGTCTCTAGGATACTGGGAAAGGGGCACGTGCAGACCAGGCTGTCCCCTCCTGCTGCCGCCGCCTCCCAAGTACATGCAGCCATGAAACGAGTTCGCGGAAAGCGGTGCCAGAGGGGCATGGGGTGCCTGGAATGGTGCCACGCACATCACCATGGCGCATGTCGATTTGCATTTGTTTCTCCTCTGCACAAGGCAATAGCGGAGAGTTTCTGCTTGTTCTGTCACTCTTTGTTTCGTTGCCAGGGGCCTGGGTGGTTGGCTTGGTACATGGCAGACATTAGGACCAGGCACAGTCCCCACCTCCTCCTGGCCTCCCCCTCCTTCTGCCTCTGTCACCCCCCCCCACCCCCGGAGGGCTGGTCCTGTATATAAACCCCAGGCCGCACAGAGAATTCCATCTAAGGGCTGCACTCGGGACTCAGCACAGCCTGCAGGATGAGCCTGAGCATGGAGAGCCAGCGACAGTCCTCTTACCGGCGGCGGTTTGGCCCCCAAGCCACCGCTGTCCACCAGCCCCTGAGATCCTCACCCCTCTTCTGGCTCCTGTCCCCCAGCCCCAGCACCAGAGTCTCCATGACCAAGAAGAGGACCTCGAGCCTGAGCATCCGTGCCAGCCCCAGGTTCTCCCAGGACAAGGCAGATTTCTCCCTGGCCGACGCCCTCAACACCGAGTTCAAGGAGACACGCACCAACGAGAAGGTGGAGATGATGGAGCTGAACGACCGCTTCGCCAGCTACATCGAGAAGGTGCGCTTCCTGGAGCAGCAGAACAAGGTGCTGGTGGCAGAGCTTAACCAGATCAGAGACAAGGAACCCACCAAGCTGGGCGACATCTATCACGAGGAGCTGCGAGAGCTCCGCCGGCAGGTGGACCAGCTGTCTAATGCCAAGACCAGGCTGGAGATCGAGAGGGACAACCTGCTGGACGACATCAACGGCCTCCGGCAAAAGTAAGGAGCCTCCTTTGCCAGGCGCAGGGCTGGAGAGCAGCCACAGTAGTGTCTGGTGGCCACGCAGCCAGAGCAGGTCACCTAACCAAGGAGAGTGGCGTGGACAGGTTACACCCAGAGAGAGAGCAGTCACTAAGGCCAAGTAGCTGCCCTTTAAAGCTGGTGGGGAATCTGTGTGTGGCTGCGAAGGCAGGGAGGTGCAGTGCTAATGCCCGGGGCTGGGTGCTAGAATTCCTGGTTCCCAGCTCTGCCACGCCCCTGCCGGCAAGTCCCGTCCTTGCTCTGTGCCCCAGCTGCACAATGGGGTGATGCACTGGTCCCTGGAAGGGCTCTGCGGGTGGGAAGAGTGAAGGGTTATTCCACAGCTGCAGAGCGGCCTCCAGTTTTCAATGTATAAAAATCCGCACCCAAATGTCTGCGCCTGTAAACCTGAGCGCTCGTAAACCACACACCTCTAGCTAGGTGAGCAGCTACACACAAACCCCTGTGTACCTGCCCAAACCTGCACAAAACACACACATGCACGCACAAACAGCTGGATCTCAGGGATGGCAGCTGGCCCAGGCCTCAGCTGAGAACGTGTACTGCAGAGGGACCTGATCACCCTGACTCAATCGGGGCGCTTCTCTTGCTGAGCCAATGTTCAGAAATGTGCAACATTCCTGGCACAATGTGCTCTGGGCTGAGACTCAGCCGAAAAGACCTTGCTCTGGGAGCCAGGCTGCTCACTCTACACATGTAATAAAACCTCCATCTGACTGAACGCACGGGGAGGGCAGCAGAAGGAGGCGAATGTTTACCAGCCTCAGATAGAGGTTTGCTCTTGTATTTTACTGGTTCTACACCAACCGTCTGTTGCTTTCTAGAGGAACTGTTATCTAATGGTTAGTGCAATGGAATCAGTGCCCTAGCTCCAGCCCTGGAAGAGGAGCGTGGTCTAGCAGTTAGCATATGGAAAACCTAGACTCCTAAATTCTGTCCCCTGCTTGGAGAGAGGAAGGTGGTCTAGTAGTTGGTAGAAGGGTCTTGGAGTCATAACTCCTGGGTCCTCACCATTGACCAGGGCAAGGTGTTTACTTCTCTGTGTCGAAGGGGGTAATAATAGTGTCTTAGCACCACAGGGAGTTAGAAACAGGGTTAGTTTATGTCTGTGCTGAAGACGGGCACAGGATTATTGCTGCTGGCAAGAGCTCGTCGGGAGGTTTCCAGTGAAAGCGTGGTTCATCAGAAAATGCTGATCCATTGAAGCAGAACTTCCCGGGAAGGGGCAGTTTGGATGAATCTCTGGATTCAAAACGGTTTGAAATTGTTGAAACTTCCCATTTTGACATTTTCAAAAGGAAAAGTTTCACTTTTCTGCTAGCAATGACTTTGGGTTTAAAAGTTTTACATAATATATGCTTTTAAAAGGTTAAAAATGTAACAAACTGATCAAACTGAAGAGTTTCAGTTGACGCCATCTGAAAAGTTTCTCAGATGATTGGGTCATGAAAAGTTTTCACATTTCTACTTTTGTATCCTGACTCAGGATGGGAAAAATATTGATCTATGTAAAACTCTCCTGGTCTGGGACAGCATTCCCCACCCAGCTGTCACTGAGCGAAGCATGGGGGTGGGGCAGCGAGAGGTTCTCTGTGTGACTTTGGCAAGCACCCACAACTGGGGCTGGATTTTCAGAGAGTTCAGCTTGTGTTGAGTTCAGCTCTTTAGAAAATCTGGCCCCAGTTGTGTCTGCTGAGCCCTTGAAAATCTGACCCTGAACCTCTCTGGATCTCAGATCCTCATGTGCAAGGTGAGGATAAGGCTCCTTCCTTTCTCCCCGGCCTCCTCTTGTCTCTTCTGAATGTGAGTTGTCTGGGCAGGGACCATCTCTTTTACTCTGCATCTCTGCAGCACGGGGAATGCTGGGCCTCTAGCATAGTAAAACACTCAATAGTTACGACAACACTGGGCTGAGGACAATGACAGATGTAGGGGATAAAACCAGCAGTTAAAAAGGCAAGGGGCAAGATAATAGAATCATAGAATATCAGGGTTGCAACGGACCTCAGGAGGTCAGCTAGTCCAACCCCCTGCTCAAAGCAGCACCAATGCCCAAATAAATCATCCCAGCCAGGGCTATGTCAAGTCTGACCTTAAAAACTTCTAAGGAAGGAGATTCCACCACTTCCCTAGGTAACGCATTCCAGTGCTTCACCACCCTCCTAGTGAAAAAGTTTTTCCTAATATCCAACCTAAACCTCCCCCACTGCAACTTGAGACCATTACTCCTTGTTGTGTCATCTGCTACCACTGAGAACAGTCCAGATCCATCCTCTTTGGAACCCCCTTTCAGATAGTTGAAAGCTGCTATCAAATCCCCCCTCATTCTTCTCTTCCACAGACTAAACAATCCCAGTTCCCTCAGCCTCTCCTCATAAGTCATGTGTTCCAGTCCCCTAATCATTTTTGTTGCCCTCCGCTGGACTCTTTCCAATTTATCCACATCCTTCTTGTAGTGTGGGGCCCAAAACTGGACACAGTACTCCAGATGAGGCCTCACCAATGTCGAATAGAGGGGAACGATCACGTCCCTCGATCTGCTGGCAATGCCCCTACTTATACACCCCAAAATGCCATTGGCCTTCTTGGCAACAAGGGCACACTGTTGACTCGTATCCAGCTTCTTGTCCACTGTCACCCCTAGGTCCTTTTCTGCAGAACTGCTGCCGAGCCATTCAGTCCCTAGTCTGTAGTGGTGCATGGGATTCTTCCGTCCTAAGTGCAGGACTCTGCACTTGTCCTTGTTGAACCTCATCAGATTTCTTTTGGTCCAATCCTCTAATTTGTCTAGGTCCCTCTGTATCCTATCCCTACCCTCCGGGATATCTACCACTCCTCCCAGTTTAGATCCCTAGGAAGCTGAACACTCCACACACACACATCCCACCTATAATCCAAGAGCCGGACAGAGATTGGAGGGCAAGCAATGTTTCTGTCTCCAAAAGATCTTGTGTTTGGCAGAATTTGCTACCCAGAAGGCTGGGACACATTCAGACAATGACCTTTGGGGATGCCCTGTCCCAGATCACATGGAGCAGGGATCAAAGGAATGAAGTCCTGATACACTTGGCAATAAGACCCTTTGCCTGTCTCCATGATCTGCACAATACCAGCACATCCAACCTCACACACGCAACCTCACACACGCAGTGTGTAGGGTGACCAGACAGCAAGTGTGAAAAATCAGGACGGGAGTTGGGGGTAATAGGAGTCTATATAAGAAAAAGACCCAAAATCGGGACTGTCCCGATAAAATCGGGACATCTGGTCACCCTACACACTCTCCACCGTGAGCAGTGTATGAACAATATCCCCCTGTCAGAGGCAGGGAAAACGAGCCCAGGCAAGAGAAGTGACTAGGGGCTGAGTGGCTCAGGGGACTGGCAATATGGAGCCCTGCACCTCAAGGCTCCTGGTTCCACTCTTAGCCACAAAGCAGGGTGACACCTCCTGGCAGGCAGCTATGAGGGAGTTGTTCCCTGCCACTGCCTGCACTGCACCAGCGTGGGAGTGAACATGGCTGGAGGGGGGATCTGGGTGGGTATCAGTGGGTGTTAGTGAGGGTGGGAAAATGATGGGGTGTGCATGTGAGAGGGGATGGGGTGTCTGTGCTGGTGACAGTGAGAGGGGAATGGGCTCTCTGGCTGAGGAGGAGTGTGTGTACATTGGGGGGAGCATGGCTGTCTGTGTGAGGGGGACTGTGTGTACATGTGTGCGAGAGAGGAGGATCAGGTGTGCGTGTCTGTGCGAGGGGTGCCTATGTATGTGTGTGTGACAGAGAAGGGTCGGGTGTGGGTGTCTCCATGAAGACGAGGACTGTGTGTATGTGTTTGACAGAGGACGGTCGGGTGTGGCTGTCTGTGTGATGGGGACTGTGTGTATGTGTTTGACAGAGGACGGTCGGGTGTGGCTGTCTGTGTGATGGGGACTGTGTGTATGTGTTTGACAGAGGACGGTCGGGTGTGGCTGTCTGTGTGATGGGGACTGTGTGTATGTGTGTGCAATGGAGGAAGATAGGGTGTGAGTGTCTGTGTGAAGAGGTGGGACTGTCTGTATGTGAAAATGACAGAGGAGGATTGGGTGTTGGTGTCTGTGTGAAGAAGGGGACGGTGTGTACATGTGTGCAAGAGAGGATGGTCAGGTGAGGATGTCTGTGTAAAGAGGGACACTGTGTGTATGTGTGTGCAAGAGAGGATAGTTGGGTGTGGGTGTCTGTGTGCAGGGGACTGTGCGTATGTGAGACAGAGGAGGGTTGGGTGTGGGTGTGTGCAGGGGACTGTATGTGTGTGAGACAGAGAAGGGTTGGGTGTGTGTGTCTGGGTGAGGGGACTGTGTGTATATATGTGCAATAGAGGAGGATCATGTGTGTGTGCGTATGTGTGCAAGAGAGGAAAGTTGGGTGTACATGTATGTGTGTGTGACAGAGGAGTATGTGTGTGATAGAGGAAGATGGTTTGTGGGTGTCTGTGTGAGGGGGACTCTGTGTGTGTGTGTGTGTGTGTATGTGTGTGTGTGTGTCTGACAGAGGAGGATCAATGTGGGTGTCTGTGTGAGGGGGACTGGGTGTATGTGTGTGCGACAGAGGAGGATCGGGTGTGGCTGTCTGTGTGAAGAGGGGAACTGTATATGTGTGTGTGAGTCGGTTGTGTTTTTCTGTGTGATGGGATTGTGTGTATGTGTGTGCCATAGAGGAGGATTGTGTGTGCGTGACAGTACATGTGTGTTTGTGTGTGCGCGCGCGCGCAAGAGAGGAGGGCCGGGTGTGTGTATATGTGTGTGTGACAGAGGTGGGCCAGGTGTGAGTGATAGAGGAGGATCGTGTGTGGGTGTCTGTGTGAGGGGGACTGTGTGTATGTGTGTGACCGAGAAGGGTCAGGTATGAGTGTCTGTGTGAAGAAGGAGACTGTGTGTATGTGTGTGCGACAGAGGAGGATTGTGTGTGGGTGTCTGTGTGAAGGGGACTGAGTGGTTTTGTGTGCGACAGAGCAGGATCATGTGTGGGAGTCTGTGTAAAGTGGGGGCTGTGTGTATGTGTGTGCGATAGAGGAGGATTGGGTGTGGGTGTCTGTGTGAGGAGCGGGACTGTGTGTGTGACAGAGAAGGGTCAGGTGTGGGTGTCTCTTTGAGGTGGACAGTGTATGTGGGTGTGACAGGTGAGGATTCGGTGTGGGAGTCTGTGTGAAGAGCAGGACTGTATGTATGTGTGTGACAGAGGAGGGTCGGGTGTGGGTGTCTGTGTGAAGAGGGATACTCGGTGGGGTGCGTGTGTGACAGAGGAGGGTCGGGTGTGGGTGTCTGTGTGAAAAGGGATACTCGGTGGGGTGCGTGTGTGTGTGTGACAGAGGAGGGTCGGGTGTGGGTGTCTGTGTGAAGAGGGATACTCGGTGGGGTGCGTGTGTGTGTGTGTGACAGAGGAGGGTCGGGTGTGGGTGTCTGTGTGAAGAAGGATACTCGGTGGGGTGCATGTGTGACAGAGGAGGGTCAGGTGTGGGTGTCTGTGTGAAGAGGGATACTCGGTGGGGTGCGTGTGTGACAGAGGAGGGTCGGGTGTGGGTGTCTGTGTGAAGAGGGATACTCGGTGGGGTGCGTGTGTGACAGAGGAGGGTCGGGTGTGGGTGTCTGTGTGAAAAGGGATACTCGGTGGGGTGCGTGTGTGTGTGTGACAGAGGAGGGTCGGGTGTGGGTGTCTGTGTGAAGAGGGATACTCGGTGGGGTGCATGTGTGTGTGACAGAGGAGGGTCGGGTGTGGGTGTCTGTGTGAAGAAGGATACTCGGTGGGGTGCATGTGTGACAGAGGAGGGTCGGGTGTGGGTGTCTGTGTGAAGAAGGATACTCGGTGGGGTGCGTGTGTGACAGAGGAGGGTCAGATGTGGGTGTCTGTGTGAAGAGGGATACTCGGTGGGGTGCGTGTGTGTGTGTGACAGAGGAGGGTCGGGTGTGGGTGTCTGTGTGAAGAGGGATACTCGGTGGGGTGCGTGTGTGTGTGACAGAGGAGGGTCGGGTGTGGGTGTCTGTGTGAAGAGGGATACTCGGTGGGGTGCGTGTGTGTGTGTGTGACCGAGAAGGGTCAGGTCTGAGTGTCTGTGTGAAGAAGGAGACTGTGTGTATGTGTGTGCGACAGAGGAGGATTGTGTGTGGGTGTCTGTGTGAGGAGCGGGACTGTGTGTGTGACAGAGAAGGGTCAGGTGTGGGTGTCTCTTTGAGGTGGACAGTGTATGTGGGTGTGACAGGTGAGGATTGGGTGTGGGAGTCTGTGTGAAGAGCGGGACTGTATGTATGTGTGTGACAGAGGAGGGTCGGGTGTGGGTGTCTGTGTGAAGAGGGATACTCGGTGGGGTGCGTGTGTGACAGAGGAGGGTCGGGTGTGGGTGTCTGTGTGAAGAGGGATACTCGGTGGGGTGCGTGTGTGACAGAGGAGGGTCGGGTGTGGGTGTCTGTGTGAAAAGGGATACTCGGTGGGGTGCGTGTGTGTGTGTGACAGAGAAGGGTCGGGTGTGGGTGTCTGTGTGAAGAGGGATACTCGGTGACAGAGGAGGGTCGGGTGTGGGTGTCTGTGTGAAGAGGGATACTCGGTGGGGTGCGTGTGTGACAGAGGAGGGTCGGGTGTGGGTGTCTGTGTGAAGAAGGATACTCGGTGGGGTGCGTGTGTGACAGAGGAGGGTCGGGTGTGGGTGTCTGTGTGAAGAAGGATACTCGGTGGGGTGCGTGTGTGACAGAGGAGGGTCGGGTGTGGGTGTCTGTGTGAAGAAGGATACTCGGTGGGGTGCGTGTGTGACAGAGGAGGGTCAGATGTGGGTGTCTGTGTGAAGAGGGATACTCGGTGGGGTGCGTGTGTGACAGAGGAGGGTCGGGTGTGGGTGTCTGTGTGAAGAGGGATACTCGGTGGGGTGCGTGTGTGACAGAGGAGGGTCGGGTGTGGGTGTCTGTGTGAAAAGGGATACTCGGTGGGGTGCGTGTGTGTGTGTGACAGAGAAGGGTCGGGTGTGGGTGTCTGTGTGAAGAGGGATACTCGGTGACAGAGGAGGGTCGGGTGTGGGTGTCTGTGTGAAGAGGGATACTCGGTGGGGTGCGTGTGTGACAGAGGAGGGTCGGGTGTGGGTGTCTGTGTGAAGAAGGATACTCGGTGGGGTGCGTGTGTGACAGAGGAGGGTCGGGTGTGGGTGTCTGTGTGAAGAAGGATACTCGGTGGGGTGCGTGTGTGTGTGACAGAGGAGGGTCGGGTGTGGGTGTTTGTGAAGAGGAGCGGGAGCATGTGGACGTACATCAATGAAAGGGAATTATGACAGAGGAGGGTCGGGTGTGGGTGTCTGTGTGAAGAGGGATACTCGGTGGGGTGCGTGTGTGTGTGTGTGACAGAGGAGGGTCGGGTGTGGGTGTCTGTGTGAAGAGGGATACTCGGTGGGGTGCGTGTGTGACAGAGGAGGGTCGGGTGTGGGTGTCTGTGTGAAGAGGGATACTCGGTGGGGTGCGTGTGTGACAGAGGAGGGTCGGGTGTGGGTGTCTGTGTGAAGAGGGATACTCGGTGGGGTGCGTGTGTGACAGAGGAGGGTCGGGTGTGGGTGTCTGTGTGAAGAGGGATACTCGGTGGGGTGCGTGTGTGTGTGACAGAGGAGGGTCGGGTGTGGATGTCTGTGAAGAGGAGCGGGAGCATGTGGACGTACATCAATGAAAGGGAATTATGACAGAGGAGGGTCGGGTGTGGGTGTCTGTGTGAAGAGGGATACTCGGTGGGGTGCGTGTGTGTGTGTGTGACAGAGGAGGGTCGGGTGTGGGTGTCTGTGTGAAGAGGGATACTCGGTGGGGTGCGTGTGTGACAGAGGAGGGTCGGGTGTGGGTGTCTGTGTGAAGAGGGATACTCGGTGGGGTGAGTGTGTGTGTGTGTGACAGAGGAGGGTCGGGTGTGGGTGTCTGTGTGAAGAGGGATACTCGGTGGGGTGCGTGTGTGACAGAGGAGGGTCGGGTGTGGGTGTCTGTGTGAAGAGGGATACTCGGTGGGGTGCGTGTGTGTGTGACAGAGGAGGGTCGGGTGTGGATGTCTGTGAAGAGGAGCGGGAGCATGTGGACGTACATCAATGAAAGGGAATTATGACAGAGGAGGGTCGGGTGTGGGTGTCTGTGTGAAGAGGGATACTCGGTGGGGTGCGTGTGTGTGTGTGTGACAGAGGAGGGTCGGGTGTGGGTGTCTGTGTGAAGAGGGATACTCGGTGGGGTGCGTGTGTGACAGAGGAGGGTCGGGTGTGGGTGTCTGTGTGAAGAGGGATACTCGGTGGGGTGCGTGTGTGACAGAGGAGGGTCGGGTGTGGGTGTCTGTGTGAAGAGGGATACTCGGTGGGGTGCGTGTGTGACAGAGGAGGGTCGGGTGTGGGTGTCTGTGTGAAGAGGGATACTCGGTGGGGTGAGTGTGTGTGTGTGTGACAGAGGAGGGTCGGGTGTGGGTGTCTGTGTGAAGAGGGATACTCGGTGGGGTGCGTGTGTGACAGAGGAGGGTCGGGTGTGGGTGTCTGTGTGAAGAGGGATACTCGGTGGGGTGCGTGTGTGACAGAGGAGGGTCGGGTGTGGGTGTCTGTGTGAAGAGGGATACTCGGTGGGGTGCGTGTGTGACAGAGGAGGGTCGGGTGTGGGTGTCTGTGTGAAGAAGGATACTCGGTGGGGTGCGTGTGTGACAGAGGAGGGTCGGGTGTGGGTGTCTGTGTGAAGAGGGATACTCGGTGGGGTGCGTGTGTGACAGAGGAGGGTCGGGTGTGGGTGTCCGTGTGAAGAGGGATACTCGGTGGGGTGCGTGTGTGACAGAGGAGGGTCGGGTGTGGGTGTCTGTGTGAAGAAGGATACTCGGTGGGGTGCGTGTGTGACAGAGGAGGGTCGGGTGTGGGTGTCTGTGAAGAGGAGCGGGAGCGTGTGGACGTACATCAATGAAAGGGAATTATAAGGGCTCTGCTCGCTCCCTGGTTGTTTTGACCTTGAGGGTTTGTTTGTTTGGATTTAGCTCAGAAAAGCCGATAATTATATAAAATCCTGCCAACTGCCTGTTTGCTTCTTGTTTCAGGTTACAGGAAGAGACTAATCTACGGCTTGAAGCCGAAAACAATTTGTCTTCCTACAGACAGGTGAGGCGTGCGCTGCTTGCGGCCCGCCAGGCCCTGCCCTGCAAGCCAGGGGCCCTCAGCTCCTTGTGGGGTCAGGCCCCTCAAGCTGGACACCAGAGCCCTGAACCCCAGAGCCCTGGCTTGACAAGCCCAGGCCGCTGTGGCAGGGGAACAGGGAGAGGGTGGGACTCGGGTGACGGGCAGCCCAGTGTCGGGGAGAGATGAGGCGGGGCCGAGGGTCACCAGTGCTCGCGGCCCCTGCAAGGGCAGGGAAAGGGTTACGTGAGATACACCCAGCTAATCTGGGCCAGTGACCGGCCCCCCACACTGCTGGGGAAGGCAAAACACCCCATGGCCCTGGCACTCTGACCTGGGAGGAAATTCCTGCCCAGGGGGCCCAACCATTTCAACGCTGAGGGCAAGATGCCAGTTTTGAGGCCGAGGCACCTCTGCAGGCCACGTCCAGAGCCGTCATTCCAGAGTCTAGCCTCAGACCCTGCGGCTGGGGTTAGCCACTGAGGCATGTCGGGGTCAGGAGATGATAGAACGGAGTGAAAGACGAGACTAGCTCAGCTCTCACTTGAACTTCAGAGCTGAGCCAGGCAGGGCCCACCCGAGATCGGTCAAGTGAGCCGCATGCCCTGGCCTCCTGACTCGGGGAGGAGCCCCTGGCTGTGGCCTCACTGCGGTCAGTGCGCTGCGTGTGCAGTGGTGAGTCTCCCTCCCCACCCCGCCCTGGGTGCGGGGCACCCAATCCCCTCCCAATGGGAGACCCCCTGCCAGAGTCCTGGTGTTGCGGGCTGGGAGGAGACTGGAGGACCAGGCATTTCCCTGAGCCACTGCAGCACCAACTGGAACACCTGAACTGTGAGCAAGGACCAGCCAGTGCCGCCTCAGACCCCTGGCCTGTGTCCCATCTCCAGCTGTGGCTACTCCTGATGCTGCAGAGGAAGGGGGGGAACAGAACACACTGGGGGGGCGGGGGGAATCCCTTCCTGACCCCTGCAGGTGAGCAGCTGAAGCTCGGAAGCATGGGATTTTAGGAACATACAGCAAACCAGAAAGGACCCCCAGACTTGCCAAGCCCTGCCCCCTATGATCACAAGCCATCCTGTCACATAATGTACCCATGAATGTGTCCAGCTCCATACCCCTGACCAGCCTAGCAGTCCTTCACAGCACCCCCTTTCTTGAATGTGGGAGACCAGACTTGCACACAGCGTTCCAGATGAGGTCTCACTGGTGCCTTGTACCATGGCATTAACACTGCTCTCTCTCTCCTGGAAATACCTCGCCTGAGACAGCCTAGAGTCTCATTTGCCTTTTCCATGGCCGCATCCCATTGGTGGCCATCCTGTGATTGACCCACACACTCAGGTCTTTCTCCTTGGTTGCTTCCAACTGATTAGCATGCAGTTTATAGCAGAAGTTCTTCTTAGTCCCTAAGTGCACGAACTTGCCCTTTGCACTATTGAATTACATCCCTATTTACCAACCAGCCCTTCTCTTCTAAAAGGATATAAACCAGGACAGGGAGAGTCAAGCCAGTAATAGGCAGTGGATGGTAGGCCCCTGTCCTGGGGGTGAGGAGAGAACAAGTGGTGTGTCCTCGGAGTACCCAGGGAGAGCCATGTGTCTGTGGGCGTGACAAGTCGACTTTTCAGTCTGCAATTCTCACACACACGGGCAGTGGAACAGAGGGGAACTTAAAAGGGCAAAAGAGAGACTGAAAACCATGATTTGATGGTCTCTCAAACCTTGATGGTCTCTTGAGGTTGGCAGTACTGGATGTGATCTTTCTCAGTGGACCTATAGGGCACAGTCCCCACACACCCCAAATCCCCACCATGCTGACATGACCCCACTAACCCCTAATCCCCATCACACAGACACAACCCCCCACATGCCTAATCCCCCACACACAGACACAATATCTCACATTCACTTCAATCCCCACAAACAGGCAGTCCCCGCGCACAGACAATCCCTGTACACAGACATGGCCCCTCACACTCCTGGTCCCCACACACGTGGGATAACTTGGCCATGAACACACTCAGGCTGGATGCTAGAGGGAGGCTTCTAACCACGGAGGTTTTGAAACAGCCTCCCAATAGCTGTAGGGGGTAAACAATGGAATGAGTTTGATGAGAGTGGACACATTGAGGTGTGTGGCTGGGTGACAGGGTTGCTTGTGATGGTGGGGGCAGAGCTCAGCAGTTCTGGGGTCCCTTCCCATTTTCTTCCTATGACTCAGGAGTCAGGGTTTTGGCCACTCACCTGCAGGGGTCAGGAAGGGCTATGGTTTCCCCCAAAGTATTCTGTGTTGTTGTTTTTTGCCTCCCTCCTCTGAAGCCTCAGGATGGGGAGCACCAGGGCTCTGAGGTGGCCCTGGGCATTTTCTCTCTCAGGTCCTTGGCTGGTGGGTCTAGCTCACAAGCTCAGGGTCTAACCAAGCACCGAATGTGGGGTAGGGCAGGAATTTCCCCCCAGGTCAGGTTGATGGTGAGCTTAGGGGTTGGTGGTGAGCTTAGGGGTTTCCCCTGCAGCATGGGGGGTGGGTCACTGGCCAGGATTATCTGGGTGTCTCTCACTTCATTCCCCTGCCATTGCGAGGGCCTGGCACCCCTTGCCGCTCGGCATAGTTCAGTGTCCTAAGGGCTGTGACCCTTTGGGCTCATTTCAGTTGGGTTCAGTGTGCGGGTGCTGGGTGGGGCTGATGCCCTGGGCTACACAGGAGGTCAGACTTGGTGAGCTGGGGGTCCCTGCTGCCTTCAACTCTGTAACTCTGATCCCCCTCACACGGACACAATGTCTCACACTCATCCCGATCCTCCTCAAACGGACACATCTCATACTCACCATGATCCCTCTCACACGGACACAATGTCTCACACTCACCCCGATCCCCCTCACACGGACACAATGTCTCACACTCACCCCGATCCCCCTCACACCGACCTGTCTCACACTCACCCCAATCCCCCTCACACGGACACGTCTCACACTCACCCCAAACCCTCTCATACAGACACGTCTCACACTCACCCTGATCCCTCTCATACAGACACGTCTCACACTCACCCTGTGTCACGGAGTCCCTGGGCGATGCTCTGGAACTGCTCCCCATGAAGCCAGTCAGGACTCTGGGGCAGTCGCCTTTCTGTGAGCAGCCTGTCTTCAGGACACGCAGCTCACTCAGCTTCCACCTTCCTGGGTCTGACCTCGGAGCATTCAGCATCCTCTGCCCCTCCGTGCGCTTCCCACAGCGAGTCCGCTCAGGCGGGGCTCCTGGGGAAGCCAGAGGGTCCTGCACCCCAACTTCGCAGTCAGACGTGACTCTCAGCCAGCCAGTAAAACAGAAGGTTTATTAGACGACAGGAACATGGTCTAAAACAGAGCTTGCAGGTGCAGAGAACGGGACCCCTCAGCTGGGTCCATTTTGGGGGGTAGTGAGCCAGACAACCACGTCTGCACTTTACTCCATGTCCCAGCCAGCCCCCAACTGAAAACTCCCTCCAGCTCCCCCTCCTCTGGGCTTTGTTCCTTTCCTGGGCCAGGTGGTCACCTGATTCCTTTGTTCTCCAACCCTTCAGCTCTCACCTTGCAGGGGGGAAGGGCCAGGCCATCAGTTGCCAGGAAACAGGGTGTCGGCCATTCTCTGTGTCCAGACCCCTGCACACACCTGCCCTCTAGGGCTCTGCAATGATCATACACCCTCACCCCACCACCTAGATACTTAAGAACTGCATAGGGGAAACTGAGGCACCCCCACAATATTCGGAGGAAACATTAAGAACAGGCCCACTTCGTCACACCCTGATCCCTCTCATATGGATACATCTCACACTCACCCCGATTCCCATCACATCAACACAATGATTTAGTTGGGGATTGGTCCTGCTTTGAGCAGGGGGTTTGACTAGATGACCTCCTGAGGTCCCTTCCAACCCTGAGATTCTATGATTCTATGAATGTCTCACACTCATCCCAATCCCCATCACACCATCACAATGTCTCACACTCACCACAATCCCCATCACATGGACCCAACGTCTCACACTCATCCTGATCCCCCTGACACCAACACCCACCCCGTTCCCTCACAGACACACGCACGCACTGTGTGAGTGTGGGTAGTGGTGCAATGTGCTGCCATTTGGAGGCTGGGGTCGAAGTTTAGGCCTGTGCCATGTAGCGCACAGCTGCCTGCTAGAAAGACTCTGAGTCCTGCTTGATGCATATAGCTGTGTCTTCAGCCTGCCTGGGTGTGAGGGCCAGCCCTGCCCCTCTGGGGCTGGCGGCCCCGGGCTCTGGGCTGCGCAGTCTAGGCAGCTGGGGTATTGCTCCAGTGAGAGTGTTGCTGGGGCAAAGCATTTGGCCCTTGTCACGGAGTCCCCGGGCGATGCTCTGGAACTGCTCCCTGTGAAGCCAGGCAGGACTCTGGGGAAGTCTCCTCTCTGTGAGCAGCCTGTCTGCAGGACACACAGCTCACCCGGCTTCCCCCTTCCTGGGTCTGACCTCGGAGCATTCAGCAGCCTCTGCCCCTCCATGCGCTTCCCACAGCGAGTCCTCCCAGGTGGGCTCCTGGGGAAGCCAGAGGGTCCTGCCCCCCAACTTCGCAGTCAGACGTGACTCTCAGCCAGCCAGTAAAACAGAAGGTTTATTAGACGACAGGAACGTGGTCTAAAACAGAGCTTGCAGGTGCAGAGAACAGGACCCCTCAGCTGGGTCCATTTTGGGGACAGTGAGCCAGACAACCACGTCTGCCCTTCACTCCATGTCCCAGCCAGCCCCAAACTGAAAACCCCCTCCAGCCCCTCCTCCTCTGGCTTTGTTCCTTTCCCGGGCCAGGAGGTCACCTGATTCCTTTGTTCTCCAACCCTTTAGCTCGCAGGGGGGAAGGGCCAGGCCATTAGTTGCCAGGAAACAGAGTGTCAGCCATTCTCTCTGTCCAGACCCCTGCACACACCTGACCACTAGGGCTCTGCAGTGATCATACACCCTTATCCCACCCCCTAGAGACTTAAGAACTACATACGGGAAACTGAGGCACCCCCACACTATTCAGAGGAAACATTAAGAACAGTCCCACTTCGTCACAGCTCTCTCTGTTGATGGACCTCCAGAGAAGGAGGCAGTGGCTGGGAGGGAGGGAGGGATGACTGAGAGTCCCAGGCCAGTGAACTGGGTGCAAGGGGTGATTTTACCCCACGTTTTATAGCAGGGAAGACGCAAACGGGCGGATGAAGAGCAAACTCTTCTCCATGACTCAGCTGCTGAACAGGCCCAGGAAGCAGGCTGAGCCCTTGGTTGGCCCAGGTAACTGAGCCCACAAGAGCGGCTCAGCCCCTAACCCATTGTGCCCAAAAGCATGGCTGGCCCTGGTGTCAGGCCGGGTCCTCAGACCAGCGCACTCGGAGCGGCACGTGCGGTGTGCTCCTGGCAGGTGCTGTGACTTCGCCTCCTCTGCTCTCGCCCACATGGCAGGATGTTGACAATGCAGCACTCATGCGCCTGGACCTGGAGCGGAAAGTCGAGTCCCTGCAGGAGGAGATCAACTTCCTGAGGAAAGTCCATGAGGAGGTATCGTGTGTGACCCACCCTCCTAGCCCATAGGGTGCCTGGCTGGGGATGGGATGGCAGAGAGAGAGGGCCGATGATGGGGGCTAATTTAGCTACAACTAATCAGGAGAAAGTTCTTGGAGTCATCGTAGACAGTTCTCTGAAGATGTCCATGCAGTGTGCAGCGGCAGGCAAAAAAGCAAACGGGATGTTAGGAATCATTACAAAAGGGATAGAGAATAAGATGGAGAATATCTTATTGCCCTTATATAAATCCATGGTACGCCCACATCTTGAATACTGCATACAGATGTGGTCCCCTCATCTCAAAAAAGATATACTGGCATTAGAAAAGGTTCAGAAAAGGGCAACTAAAATGATTAGGGGTTTGGAACGGGTCCCACATGAGGAGAGATTAAAGAGGCTAGGACTTTTCAGCTTGGAAAAGAGGAGACTAAAGGGGGGATATGATAGAGGTCTATAAAATCATGACTGGTGTGGAGAAAGTAAATAAGGAAGTGTTATTTACGCCTTCTCATAACACAAGAACTAGGGGCCACCAAATGAAATTAACGGGCAGCAGGTTTAAAACAAATAAAAGGAAGTTCTTCTTCACTCAGCGCACAGTCAACCTGTGGAACTCCTTGCCTGAGGAGGTTGTGAATGCAAGGACTATAACAGGGTTTAAAAGAGAACTGGATAAATTCATGGAGGTTAAGTCCATTAATGGCTATTAGCCAGGATGGGTAAGGAATGGTGTCCCTAGCCTCTGTTTGTCAGAGGGTGGAGATGGATGGCAGGAGAGAGATCACTGGATCATTACTGTTAGGTTCACTCCCTCTGGGGCACCTGGCTCTGGCCACTGTCGGTAGACAGGATACTGGGCTGGATGGACCTTTGGTCTGACCCAGTATGGCTGTCCTTAAGTTCTTATGTTCTTATGACCTCTGTCCTTGCCTTGCCAAGCACTGCAGCCTGGGCCCAGCTATCCAGAGAGGCAGGGACCTTACAGTGCAAATGGCTCGTCATTCTCCTTTGGGCGGTTTCACCTCTCCCCCAGGCCCTCCCTTGAGTTCCATTGTGCACCTGTGTGCTGGGTTCCCATCACCTGGCCCATTATTCCTGCCAGCCAGGAGAGACAAGGAGGGAGAAATCTTTGGCCCAAACTCAAAGGGTGATGTGTAAATTCTGCATCTGTGAAGGGGTGTCAGGGGATCTTAGCCGGTGTAATTTACACCCCACAGTCGCATGAGGAGGGCCTACACCTTCTTCTGCTGTCCTGTCAACTCCACCCTTTTCTGTCAGCCTTTGGGTGTGTGAGTTATGGGAGTCCCTTCCTGTAAACCCAGGCAGGGACTGGTAATTTCCACCAGCTTGTCCAGAGACCCAGAGAAGGACGGCTGGAAGGAGGTCTTCTGTAGCAGCCACAGCAATGGAATGTCAGACCACAGAGTGGCCAGCAGTGGGCACTGCAGAAGGGATGTGGCTGACCCAATCTCCCACACAGTCAGACCTTTCCATCCCTTGGGAGCTAGCGGGCTATCCCCCGCCACGCCGGGATCCGCAGTGGCCACCGTGGCATGTTCAGTCCTGTGCCCAGCGCGCGGCTCTGCTGCCTGTCCCCCAGCGGCACCGGTGTGGCACAGCCCTGTCTCCGTGCCGCCCACCCGCCTCGCTTGCATCTTTGCAGGAGCTGAGAGAGATGCAGGAGCAGCTGGCGCAGCAGCAGGTCCACATTGAGATGGACATGTCAAAACCGGACCTGACGGCTGCGCTGCGGGAGATCCGCATTCAGTACGAGTCCATGGCCTCCAGCAACATGCACGAGACCGAGGAGTGGTACAAGTCCAAGGTAACGGGGCCTGAGACAGGCCCTCAGACCGGGGCTGCCAGTGAAGCACCCTGTGGGTTGCACATGCAGTTTCTGTCTCTTACTGACTGGCACTGGATTGTGGCTCGCCCCTGCATGATGCCCCATGTGCTATATGCCACCCAGGGGAGTTACCAGACAGGTTGGAAGGGCTGGTTCATGGGACATTCCCCTGCAGTGTCTCCTGGCTTCATGAAGGCTGTGGGAATAATAATACTTAGATGTTTGTCTTTGACTAGCACCTTTCACACCAGGATCTCAAAGCTCTTCACTAGTTGTACCCCCCGCATCCTAGGAGCCGCGGGGGGTTATTCTCCCCCTTTGACACATGGGGGAAGATCAGAAACAGCAGTTAAGAGACTTTCCTAAGGTCACACAGCCAGTTAGTGTCAGGATGGAAATATAGACCAGGAGCCCTGACTCCTGAGCTCTAACCACTTGTCAGAGCAGGGGCTTGGTAGCCAGGCATCCTGGCTACCAAGCCCCTGCTCCAGCCACTGGAGTACTTTGTTCAATCAGCTGGTATCACCATCGTCATCTTACCCTGTTCTCTCCCAGTTTCCTGTTCCCCGGGGCACCAAGCCCCTGCTGAGCGCTCTCCCTGGGGAGGGACGTCCCTACCTCTCCGGGCCAGGTGCACTCACTCCTCTTCCTCAGTTCGCAGACCTGACGGATGCGGCAGCTCGGAACATCGAAGCCTTGCGCCTGGCCAAGCAAGAAGCCAATGAGTACCGGCGCCAGCTCCAGGCACTCACCTGCGACCTGGAGTCCCTGCGGGGAATGGTAGGTGTGGGTGCTGGGGGCAGGGGCAGGCTGCAGTGAGACAGCGCATGGGCCCTTGGGTGCCCTCCATTAGCACAGGCCTCCCAATGAACATCACCCCATCACTGAGCCCTGCTTTGGGCTCCAAATTCCCCTCATCTCCAGTTAACCTTGTCAAATAAACCTCGGCTCAGAATCAAACATGCCAAGCTGGGAATAAGGACTCAACAGATATCAAACAATGCTGGGCTCCCTTGTGTTCCTGTAATGTGCAAAGAGGAAGGCGGCCAGACAAGATGGGCCAGGCGTCTGCTCCCATAGGGCAGAGACAGGAGACGGGGCTGGGGCCTGGGGTCTCCTCTCGTAGGGCAGAGACAGGAGACGGGGCTGGGGCCTGGGGTCTGCTCCCGTAGGGCAGAGACAGGAGACGGGGCTGGGGCCTGGGGTCTGCTCCCATAGAGCAGAGACAGGAGACTGGGCTGGGGGATGGGGTCTGCTCCCGTAGGGCAGAGACAGGAGACGGGGCTGGGGGCTGGGGTCTGCTCCCATAGCTTAGAGACAGGAGACGGGGCTAGGGGATGGGGTCTGCTCCCGTAGGGTAGAGACAGGAGACGGGGCTAGGGGATGGGGTCTGCTCCCGCAGGGGCTAGGGGATGGGGTCTGCTCCCGTAGGGCAAGGAGGAAGGATAGCAGCTGAAGCGAAGTCGTCTGGTCTGGTGCAGGCAGGAGGTGGGGGACTGGACCACCTGCTCCAGTGGGGCAGCCCACACTGGCCTCTCTGTAGCAGCCCTGGAGTGTGATGATCCCTGTTAGGATCACGTGACCCTGGCCTCCTGGTGCCATGTCACCAACTCAGACATGATCCCTGGGGGCGGACAGCGGAAGGCAGATCAGTAACAGCCCTTCACCCCCGCCCCTCCCAGAATGAATCCCTGGAGAGGCAGCTGCGGGAGATGGAGGACCGCTATGCCACTGAGACAGTCAGTTACCAGGACACCGTCATCCAGCTGGAGGAGGACATCCGGAACCTCAAGGAGGAGATGGCTCGGCACCTCCAGGAATACCAGGACCTGCTCAACGTCAAGCTGGCCTTGGACATTGAGATTACCACCTACCGCAAGCTCCTGGAGGGAGAAGAAAGCAGGTGAGCCTCCTGCAGACAAACTGCAGGATGAGGAAGGGGAATTCATTCTTTCAGGGGGATTCTGAGGAACCTGTTCCGTGGATACCCAGAAGGACACCAGTGCCCAGGGCTGCCAACCCAGCACCCCTTGTTTTAGCTAACAGGTGCTCCAGGCCACCGCTGGATTGAGTGGCTAGGGTCTCATGCTCTGTCACTTAGAGAAGGGCCTGAACCAAAACTCTGGATCCAAACTCTCCTAACCTTTGGAGGAAAGCTAGGACCGGATCCAAGCCTGGCAGCATGGGCCCATCTCTTCCATATGCTGTTGGAAATGAATGACTTTCAATTGTCCCCCTGCAACCCATTGACCTCAACAGCATCATTGCAAGCAGAAGTGTCTAGACAGCCAGACGCTGAGGGTATATGGCTGGGTTAGGTACGTGGTGGGAATGGGCCAGTTGTCATCTAGGGCTGCCGATTTTGGTTGGATGGATTCTTGGAGGTTTCATCACAGGACATAATATTTAATTAAAGATTAATCTTTAATTCCTGGACACTCCTGGAGGGTTGGCAACCCTATAGTCACCTGGCTGTTCTTGAGCTCCCTGATGAGCTGGACCTGTCACGTGGGTTTCCCAGCAAAGGCCTCCCTTCTCCCAGTCACTCAGAGGCAGCCTTGCCTGGGAAGTGCCTCTTGTGTGGCCCGTCTCACACCTGTGCTTCTCCGATTGCCTTGTTTCTGCAGGATCACGATCCCCGTGCAGACCTTCTCCAACCTGCAGATCCGAGGTCAGGACGCTGCGCGCCCCAAGGGAGGAGGGATGGGATGGGTGGTCATGGCTACATCGCGCCTTCACGTCTGGGTGTGGAATCACTTTCCCATGGTACTGCCCCCGCCACGTGCAGGCTCTGACTCTGGGCCAGGACTGGAGGAAGGGCTGGGTAATGTGATAGCAGCTAGAGGCACTAAGATGGGGGCCATCAAATCTCATGCTTCAGGGCATACGCTGAGCACTGTGGGGAACGTCTCCATAATGCACAGAGTTGTGCAATTGGCCAGCTGCATTGTGGGTTTTTCCCCATCTTCCTCTGACGCATCAGGGCTGGTAGCACAGTTCAGTGGACTGGGAGCCAGGAGACCTGGCTCTGCTCCTCTCACTAACCTGCTACGTGAGCGTGGGCAACCCTTCCCCACTGTGTGCCAAACAGGGATAACCAGAGCCTGGGGATTTCAGTGGCCTGTAAAGTCTGAGTATTGTCACTGGCAGGTTCCCAGGCTTGGGGCCCCACTGGTCTGATCTGGGCCCACTCATCCAGCACATTGATGCTCCCTGTCTCCAGCCAGGCCAGACTCCAGGAGGTACAGGTGAAGGGAAGCCTGCGCCGTGGCCTCCTTTGGGACCCAGCCCGGTGACATGGGGACCCTGTAACAGGTGCAGGAGCCCTGAGAGTGTCCCTGAAGCCACTTCTCTCTGACTGCAGCCTGCTCTGCTGTGCCGGGGGACCCTGCAATGTGGGATGGGGGAGCCCCAGGGAACCCAGAGCTTCGGGGTGTGTTGGGGGGCAGGAGGAGGTGGAGATTCGGAGCAGCGGTGCCTCACCCCGGGCCATGTAACTTTCCAAGTAGGAATTCAGACAGGGCAGACCCATGGTGACTCTCCCACTCAGTGGCGGATTAATGATTTTGCCACCCCTAGGCCCTGAAATAATTGCCCCATATGAACTTGTTTTAGTTTTTTTACAAATTCATTTGAACCCACCGGCAGCTCCCCACGGTGCCCCCCAGCTCACCTCCGCTCCGCCTCCTCCCCTGAGCGCACCGCCGCTCCGCTTCTCCCCTCTCTCCCTCCCGGTGCTTTTGCGCGGCAAGCCTGGGAAGGAGGGAAACGCAGCGCGCCCAGGGGAGGAGGCAGGGCTGGGGATTTGGGGAAGGGGTTGGAATGGGGGCGGGGAAGGGGTGGAGTTGGGGTGGGGTCGGGGCCGGGGGGGCACGAGCACCCACCGGTGCTGGGTAAAGTTGATGCCTGTGGCTATTATAAATTTGCCACCCCTGTAAATTTGCCGCCGTAGGCTTAGGCCTTGTCGGCCTAGGCGATAATACGCGGCTGCTCCCATCCCGGGGCAGTCCCCACAGAGAGGGGGCTAGGGTGCAGCCCACGAACTCCACAGATCCATCTGAACAAACAGTATCATGTCAGGGGCAGCCCAGCCAGGGGCATGCCAGGGGACAGCCCCAGATAGTCCACAGGGTACCAGAGGTGATGGAACAATGTGTACAGTGGGGGTGCTGAGAGCCATTGAACCAAACTGTAAACCCTGGATATGATGGAAACCACTTTAAGCCAGGGGGGTGCTGCAGCACCCCTTGTTCCAGCACCTATGCAGGGTACTGCGTGGGCTTGTAGGTCCACTTGCTGGGTGGGCTGCTCCCCTCCCGGTGTGAGTCAGGGAGGGGAGCACAGAGCCCTTTGCTAACAGATCTTGGAGCCCTGTGAATGTGGAAGGGCTGTTAGCTGTCGCGGGGACAGGTTTCATGGCTCCTGTGCCATGTGTAGGGAATCTCAGCTCAGGCCCAGAGCTAGCCCGACCTGGCAGCCTGTGTGGCCCTAGGTGCTTCGTTCTGCCTTGTTCTGCTTGGTGGGGCTTTCTCAGAGTGGAGACAACGACCACATGTGCTCTTCTCCACAGAAACCAGCCTGGATACCAAGTCAGTGTCTGAGGCTCACCTGAAGAGGAACATCGTGGTCAAAACTGTGGAGACCAGAGATGCAGAGGTAGGAGATGGTCTCCCCTGCCCCTGCCCCACCATCCATCCCCACCCCTCCCCTGCCTGCTGGAGACCACCTGACCTTGCCATGCTGCAGTTCCCTGTTGTCTGGGGCTTCCAAGTAATGGGCCTTGAATGGGCCTGGTCCTGGGGGGTGATGGGCATGTGCCTCACTTGCTGAGCTGTACAGCTGTAACGGCCTAGCGGGGGCAGCATTCTCCTGGGGAGAAGCAGGGGGGTTGTTCTCTTGGTGGATCTCACCACTAGTCGACTGCCTGCCGAGTCAGTGACCCCCCTTGTGTGTTTGGTGAGGTGTGCAGCAAGGCTGGGGTGTATGGCAGGCCAGGCGCTGGGGAAGGACGTACTGCTGTGCGGGAATGCTGGGCAAGACAATTCAGTGGAACCGGTTCTGTTGGACAATGTGGTGTCATCGAAATCAGGCCTTGTCTACACTACAGGGAGGTGTACACGCTGCAAAGCGACTTTTGGCGGCAAAACTCTGCTGTTTTGCTGACCAAATAAAACCACCTCAAGGAGAGGCACAAAGCGTCAGGGTCGACACTGCTGTTTGCTTTGTCGACAGAACGGGGTTCCGCCAGTATCCCACAATGCCCGCCATGGCCGCGCTGCTCACTGGTTTGAGGCAGGCATGCGCCCTCCCCTTTCAAAGCTCCCGGGACGTGTCTGACAGCTGAGCCTGCTGCTCCCTTTGGGGAACAAAGAGCAAATCATTAGCTGGAAGGCTCCTGCTCTGCCCTGCCCTAGGAACACAGGGGCAGGCAGACTGCTGCGGCGGGGAGCACGGGGTGGGCGGGGGGCAGGGGACAGCCATGCTGCCTTGACATTCCTCAGCAGGGAGAGCTCACAGAGCTGCTCAGGATGCTGCTCCCAGCTGTGGGAGAACTCGGAGGGAACCGTAGGCAGGCAGGCTTCGGGAGAGACTGCTGTGCCGAGCAGAGACGGGAGCTGATGTGGGGGGTGTCCCCTTCCCCCTTCTCAGGATAGGCTGGTCAGCCTGCTGTCTTCCCACCCCAGACCCACCCCGTCCTCTCTCTCCCCCCACAGCGGCTGACAATTGGATGGGATTAAGAAACCTGCATCAATGTGATGTTGTATCTGCCCCAATAGGCACTGCAAACCCTTCCCAAAGCACCCTGCGGCCAGTTGCATTGTGGGATAGCTACCACTCGGCACTGTGTCGATACAAGAGCTGCTAGCATGGATGCACTCTGCCGGCACAAGGAGCTAGTGTGACATGCCACAGCGGTTTTAATTCAAGCAGCATAACTTTTGCCAACAAAACTTCGTAGTGTAGACGAGGCCTCAGTGTCAATTCTGGTGCCATTTTTGACAGAAGAAAGTTGAAATGAATGTTTTGGCTTTCTCGTTTCTTTTCGACTAGATCGATAATGTGGCGTTTTGATAACACTGAAGCGTTTGGATATGGTAAAGCCATTTCATTCTGATGTGTTTCGAGGCATTTCACTTGGACTTGTGTGTTATGTTAAAACATTGATTTAATGTTATATTATGTTTACTAGTCACTATTTATTGTAATTAATATTTAATGTAATATCAAAGTCTAAACAAAATGAATCAGAACTATTGAGTAAGAACAACATGTTTTCGCCTTATCAAAGGGCCATGTTTTAACATTATCAGAATGCAATGACTTGATGGTCCCAAAATGCCCTGTGTTTTGGAGTTTGTGCGGCACAGGAAATGTCGGCTCTTTGTTCTGACTCTGAACTCATTAGTCTCTGAAAATCAGAATTTCCAGCTGAATAGAAATTCTGATTTCCAGCCGTTTCCACTGTGTGGTTACGGCACCACGTGGGACTCTGGAGATCTTGGCTCAAGTCCCACCTCCGCCCCAGACTGTGTGATGCTGGGCAAGGCTTTTAATGAATCTGAGCCTCCGTTCCCCATCTGTAACTTGGGGTGAATGATCCTTCCCTTCTCCCACCCTTCGTCTGTCCTCTGTCCTTAGACTGTTTGTAGTGCTGGTGTAGCCAGGTCAGTCCCAAGATATGAGAAAGACAAGGTGGGGAAGGGAATATCTTTTATTGGTCCAACTTCTGTTGGGGAGAGAGACAAGCTTTCGAGCCACACGGAGCTCTTCTTCAGGTCTGGGAAAGGTACTTTGAGCATCCCAGCTAAACACGAATGGGGATGGCTTGTTAAGTAGAAGCGTTAAGGCATGTTGGAGGCAGTGGCTTGAAATGAAGCAGGCAGTTCTAGGTTAGATTATTATGCATAAAGGGGTTGAAGTGGGTAATTAAGGGTAGCAGGCAGTGTGGTGTTACAAATTGATGAGCCTGGGAACTTAAATTCATAACTCTGCTAGACACCAAAAAACATGGACTTAACATGGACACTTTATGGCTCATTACAACAATTCATAACACACCACACTGCCTGCTACCTTTACTTGCTCATTGTCTGGAGCAGCTCACAACCATGCATGCCAGCCTCAGGGCAGACTGTCAAAAAGCAGGGCAGAGACCCCAATCAGGTGGTATGTTCCATAATTAGATTTCACCAACCCAGTAATGAGAGTGACCTCCTAAAGCACTATAACAGGCTGACCGTGGACTCAGACAGTCCCCTTGGGCATTCCAGTCTGTCTTGCCACCCAGGAAAGCTGGACAATGCAATAGATGGTCACATTACGCCAAAAATCACAGCAATATTCAGGCTATTCCCAGTCCCAAAGGACCAGTCACTTACCCCAGGTCAATTATATTCAGATCTCAAACCAGAGACAACTCCTGTAGCCAATCCTGGCTAAATATGTATTAATTAAGAAATGAGAATTATTTACAAGGTTAAAACACAAACATACACACACAAATGAGTTCCAGTCTTTGATTTAATATAAGCCTCCACAGTAAGCGGCTCTCTATGTCTTTTGGGGCTGACCCATGCCAAACAGCATGGGGATCTCTTGCTCATGCTTAGGAATCTTTGCCCTTCTGCGACCAGACATAAAAAGCAACCCAGTTTCTCCTTTGTATCCCTTTCACCCCAGATGCCAAGCTGGTGGGATGAGTCCATGCGCAGGCCTCCCCTTCCTGGAGGGAGTGAGGAGTGCAGCCAGAGAAGTGTCTGGCCTTTGATGCTGCACAAAGCCTCATTTGCCTCCAGTGGGCCCCCTAGAGTGCAGGACGGTTACTTCCCCTTAATTCATTCTTTTTCCTGTTACACAATCACAGAGGTTTGCGGTGCAAACACTCGATATCGCTTTATACCAGGGGATGCAGCTATTATAAGCAGGATTCATACATGCAGCATCCTACAAGCATTCCATGAAGTCTAAACAGGAAACACATCCTTATAACACTGAACCCTGTTTTAACTCTATGTTGACCCACAGCCGAGCCAGACTGGTTTCCAGCTCTGCATTTGTCAGTGTTCAGTGAGGCCCTGGGCCTTGGCATGAGCTGGCACCTGGCTTGCCAGCGTCACACCCACTTCAAACCCTTTATGCATAACAATCTAACCCACAACTGCCCATGTAACCCCAACAGACCCCACTCGTCGGGATCGAACCAGGGACCTCTGAAGCTTCGTGCATGAGCCTCTACTGCAGGGGTTCTCAAACTGGGAGTCGTAACCCCTCAGGGGGTCATGAGGTTATTACGTGGGGGGTCGCGAGCTGTCAGCCTCCACCCCAAACCCCACTTCACCTCCAGCATTTATAACAGTGTTAAATATTTTTAAATTGTTTTTAATTCATGGGGGGGGGGAGGGTCACACCCGGAGGCTTGCTGTGTAAAAGGAGTCACCAGTACAAAAGTTTGAGAACCACTGCTCGCTGCGTGAGCTAAAAGCTCCCATGGCCCTTTATCTAAGGCTGTAGCAGGCTCATTAATCTCTCTCTAACTGCCACTAGATGGGACAGAACACCACACCCAAGAGGTGTGTGTGTTACACCCACTTCATTTCAAGTGACACCCTCCAACTCCAGGTACCCCTTCTGCTTAACAATCCAGCCCAATTTGCATTTGGCTTCCTGCCCCACACTGGAGAAGAGCTCCGTGTCACTCAAAAGCTTGTCCCTTCCCTCCGGCAGAAGCTGGTCCAGTAAAAGATATCCCCTCCCCTCTGGTCTCTCTTGTTTAGACTGTAAACCTTGGGGCAGGGGCTGTCTCTCCTGGAGTATTCACACCCTGGGAACAAAGGGGAGAGGGGCTGAAAAGACAAACTTTTGGTGGGGTTATACTAGAGGATCAGGCAAAACTCAACACAGCCTCTGCAGGGCATTTTAACAACGGTGGCACCTTAAAGACTAACAGCTTTATTTGGGCATAAGCTTTCGTGGGTAAAAACCCCACTTCTCCTCGCTGTGTTTGTGGATACAGACTGAGAGGGCTACTCCTCTGATACAGGGCGTTTTAGATCGCCCTGGGGAAGCAAGAGACAGTTTGATCAGGTCACACATAAAAACTGCCGTGCCGCCACAGAGCAAAGAATGCACCACTCTGCGCTCCGCTTTGACACAGCTCTGGGGGTGGCTCACGCTCTGGAGGAGGCAGGGGAGGGAACTGGGAGCCAGGCATAGAATCATAGAATCATAGAATATCAGGGTTGGAAGGGACCCCAGAAGGTCATCTAGTCCAACCCCCTGCTCGAAGCAGGACCAATTCCCAGTTAAATCATCCCAGCCAGGGCTTTGTCAAGCCTGACCTTAAAAACCTCTAAGGAAGGAGCTTCTACCACCTCCCTAGGTAACACATTCCAGTGTTTCACCACCCTCTTAGTGAAAAAGTTTTTCCTAATATCCAATCTAAACCTCCCCCACTGCAACTTGAGACCATTACTCCTCGTTCTGTCATCTGCTACAATTGAGAACAGTCTAGAGCCATCCTCTTTGGAACCCCCTTTCAGGTAGTTGAAAGCAGCTATCAAATCCCCCCTCATTCTTCTCTTCTGCAGGCTAAACAATCCCAGCTCCCTCAGCCTCTCCTCATAAGTCATGTGTTCTAGACCCCTAATCATTTTTGTTGCCCTTCGCTGGACTCTCTCCAATTTATCCACATCCTTCTTGTAGTGTGGGGCCCAAAACTGGACACAGTACTCCAGATGAGGCCTCACCAATGTCGAATAGAGGGGAACGATCACGTCCCTCGATCTGCTCGCTATGCCCCTACTTATACATTCCAAAATGCCATTGGCCTTCTTGGCAACAAGGGCACACTGCTGACTCATATCCAGCTTCTCGTCCACTGTCACCCCTAGGTCCTTTTCCGCAGAACTGCTGCCTAGCCATTCGGTCCCTAGTCTGTAGCTGTGCATTGGGTTCTTCCGTCCTAAGTGCAGGACCCTGCACTTATCCTTATTGAACCTCATCAGATTTCTTTTGGCCCAATCCTCCAATTTGTCTAGGTCCTTCTGTATCCTATGTGGATCCTATCTGCATGTGGAGTCCTGGCCTGGCCAGTCGACTCTGCTGGCCCGTGATGAGGGGGAGGTTCCCCGCATGCACCATGCACCTGCCAGGAGTGACTGCCCTCCCGTGAAGGCTCTTTCGCTGCCGTTACAAGGAGTCCCCTCTGCTGGGCGGAGCACTGGACTGCTCCTGGCTTGTGCTCACTGGCTCCAGCTGGCAGCATGTGGCTTTCCCCACTGATGTCCGTGACTTTGAATGTTGGCTCTCGGAGGTCCCAGGCTGGGCCATGACCCTTCCTGACACCTGGCACGGAGGGGCAAAGCTGGCATGTTAGTGACCCAGCCCCAGGGTGTGAGCAGCCCACATGCTCCCTCGGTGCCTTGGCACACTGAGGAGCTGCAAGTCCCAGCAAGCTGTGTCAGCCCGCAGGAGCACTGGGGTGGGGAGCAGCAGGCTGGCTCAGTAGAAACACACTGGGTCAGGTGCAGGCAGCTGCAGTGGGAACGGTAACACCCTTTCCAAGCCTCTGGCATCCCAGGGTCTCCAGCCAAGCACTTTGCTAACCTGGGTGGACTGAGCCCTGCCAGGGGGGTCACTAGCATTATCCACACAGCTAGACTGGGGTGCCAGCTTCCAGTGACCGGGCGGGGAAAAGAACCCAGGGGTCCGGACTCCTCTGTGCTAACAGTGAGACTGGCTGCCTCTCTCCTGCTCCGTGCCAGGAGACCTTGGGGCAGAGAGAGTATGTCCGGGGGGCGCCTGCTGGGGGTGTGAACTGTCTCTGGTTACAGTGAGCCCACTCTACCCTGTAGGACACAGGCACATTCCAGCTTGCCAGATAACTGCCCCACACAGGCCCCACAGAGCCGGTGTCTTGGAGCCCTACAATGCCACACCCGGCAGCCTGGGGCTGCGCTTTGCTTCCCAGACACTCAGCGAGCCTCGCTGCAGGACAGGAGGAATTTTCAAGCCCCACAGGCCAGACCCACCCTTGGTCTGTGGCGTAGCAGGTACAGAGGGAGCATGGGGCTGGTGGAAGGACCCCACCGATGGAGTTCACCAGCACAGGGGCCTCTCCACCAGCTTTGCACTGCCCACACAGTAGCTCTGGGGGCAGGCCAGGGAGACAGGGAGTAAACCGAGAGCAGGCGGTGCCGTGCACAGCGACTCTGCACAGCCACTAGCCCCCGGGTGCCATGGCGGGGGGGCCCGGGTTCAGGGAGCCCCGAGGTGTACGTGCCAACCCACCACCCCACCCACGTGCAGCCCTGGTTCCACACAGGGACAAATCCCCGACAGGAGAGTGGGGCTTGCTAGGGACTTGCCTCCTGGCCTCCCAGGGGTTGGGGGCCCCTCGGCTGGCTCCAAGCCAAGGAAATCCCGCCAGTGGAGGGGGGCAGTGACTGGCCATGATGGTAACATTTGCCCTCTGTCTGTCCACAGGTGACCAAGGAATCCACCCAGGAGCACAAGGACTAAGGCGGGTGGAGCGCGAGGGTCGGCTAGCCTGTAGCTGTAGATCACTAGCAGCGTAGATCCCGCCTGACACTCAGCCCCTCTGATGTGGAACCAGGAGGGCTCAGCTGCTGCGAGGGACCCACATGGAGGGAGCGTGTTTCGCTTGCCGGAGAGTGGCGCTAACGAGCCTAACCGAGGATCTAGAGTAACCAGCGCCCCTTAGAACCGCTGCACACTGTTCCGAGCCCCGTCTCTCCCTCCTGCTGCCCCTGCCCAGTCTCCCGTCTGCCTTGGTCCGCGGCAGTCGTGCCCCTCTGGGAGAGGCCTGCTGAGCTGCTCCAGAGCCTGGTGGTGTTTGAGGCCCTGCTGAGGCTGCCAGAGCTCACCTAGGGATAGAGCAATGGAAGGCCCAGCTCATGCCCACAGAAAGGGCCAAATCCCTGGCCCGGCGGCTGCAGAGTTTCCACGGCCTGCTGGAGCCAAGGGGTGGGATTTGGCTGCACCCCACCACCTGCCCCAGATCTCAAAGCCCCAAGGATGGCTGAGGCCCTGACCCCGGCTCAGGCACCCCCAGGAGAGGTAGGAGGGGCCCTGAGTGTGAGTCTGCCCAGGGTTAATGCTGACAGCACCCATGATCTGGCCCAGGGAGACCCCCATGGAGTTGCAAGGGGGGGTGATGCTGTGGAGAGCAGCTCTCCTTCAGCACAGCCCCTCACGCCCCCCACCAGCCTCTTGGAGATCAGGCTGAAAGACTTCCAGGGTGGGAGATGCTGCTGCCCTCCCTGTGATGGGCTTGGGCCCAAAGGAGCAGGGTTTCTGCTCCCTGGCCCCTGCAATGGGATGGTGCAGCAGCACCTGCCGCCCAGTGCACCAGCGGTGAGCCTGGGGGAGGCAAAGGCACTAGGCAGCCGCGCTGCACCGAAGGCCCTGGCTGGCCCAGGAGCTGCAGCTGGGCTAATGTGGAGGAGAGCTGATTGGAACTGGAGGCAGGAGCCCTGGACACGGGGGGGGCTGGGCTGGCTGATGTCCCCCCTTTGTGCTGAGGGCTTAGAACTGATGTTTCCTGCTCACTGAGCACCAGGCAGATTAGCCAGAGGAGCTGAGGGGACGGGAGGGACAGAGCCTCACAGGGAAACAGCTCCCTGCTGCTGGCAGGAGGCCACGAAGCCTCTTCAGGCTGCACAGAGGACATCAGACCCATCATGAGGGGAGGGTTGCGGGACGCAGCCTCCTGGCAGCTTCGTGGTTTAATCCAGGCCTGTTCCCAGACCCCGGGCTGGCCAGCTGCGAGGGGCGTGGGCGGCGGGGCCCTGCCGAGCAGTGAGGCGCAGGTTTGCCCTGCTTGGTGATGGCGGTGTCCAGCCCTCACTGTCACGGCCCCTCCAAGCGGCACTGCAGAGCCAGGGAGCTGGTGAGCTGACTGTGCCTTGCTTGGCTACAGCCTGGGCCAAGACCAGCCAGGTCAGGGGCTCAGGGGCTCGGGACTGGGTCAGGCGCTCCCTGCCATTGGCTCCCCTGGGAGCAGAGCAGGCCATTAGCTCTCCCATCTGTGTGTGTGTGGGGGGGTATTTTCCTCCCTCCCAGACAGGCTGAGGGAAGCTCACTGGTGTTTGGGAGGGGGCAGAGCCATCACAGAGCAGGCCCTACGGCAGGAGGGGCTGGCAGCATGAGTTAAAGCCCAGGAGGGTCCCTGCGCCCTCCCAGTGCGAAGGGTTTGTTAGCGGGGCCCCTTGTCTCCCGGTTTCCTACGGGGTTGCTCTGAAACGCTCACTCTGTGGAGCAGTGCCAGCAGAGGGTGCCTGGCTCAGGGAGGTACTGCTCTGGCTCGGGAGGGTGGCAGAATCTGGCTCTATGTCGAACTCTCTCTATGGATTGTTCTCCGTGTGTCCTGAACTGTTGGACAGTGGTGTGTGCCGGTGAACAGCTGCCACCTTCTGCCCCAGAGGTGGCTGCATTGCAGCCGGGGTGAATACAGTGCAGGGATGTGACTATGGGTGTAGAGCCAGCAAGGTGGCTGATCTCAACCAGCCAGTGCTTCTTCCCCCAGTTGGACATTTCTAATGCATGTGAAAATGGAGAGGGTGGAGAGAAAGGGACTGGAGGGTGAGAGAGGAGCCGGATGGGGCCGGCCTGTCTGGGAGCCCCATTGTGTGTTCAGGGGCAGGAGATGCTCCTAGTGACCATAGCTGCGTTGGGGAGGAAGGGGGCTCCATTGTCACTCCAGCCCCAGCTGCGCTGCAGCCCCCTATGGGCCATGCTCTGCCTGTGATCTCCATGCCAACACGCCCCCAGTGCCTGCCACCCTGCAGCCTCACACGGAGATGGGCAGCGGGAGAGGGGGGCGGCAGCAGGCCCAGAGTTTACATATTCTGTGTCCCATAGGAGCCCAGTCAGCTGGGACTGCCTGGCAAAGACCCTGCCAGCCATCACACGTGGGCAGCGAATCCTGCGAGCGCACCCGTGTGTGGGGTGGAAAGGTCAGCCCTGCTCCACTGCCCTGAACCTGCGGGCCTCCGCTATACACATAGTTTCCAGCCCAGCCAATGTGAGCCAGCCACCCCGCAGGGCAGGACGGTCATAACCCATCAAAGAGCTGCTCAGAATGACCTCCCCAGTGCTCAGCCTGCTAGACTGGGCCTGCCCGCTCCTGACCCAGGGCTGCCGTATCTAGCTGCATCCCGGTGCTAGGAGCCCTCCGCCCCATTTCCCTTGTGCATGGTTGGTTTAGGAGCGAAGATCTAATGGCTGCTTCCAGGAGCAGTTAGTGCCATTCATCTGCCCCTCCGCTAGCTCCACTGCTCGCAGGCTCTGAGTGCAGGTTATCACCATGAATCCACGCAACCTTGCAGCTCCCCAGAGGCAGGGGCGTATTATCATCCCGTACGTGCAGCTGGGCCAGCTTAGGCAGAGAGAGGTGTGACGTGCCCAAGCTCACCCAGCAAGGCGGTGGCAGAGCCAGCGTAGCCCCTGGCTACCCTAGCTCCCACGCCTGTGCCCTACCCACTAGACAACACTCTCCTTGTAGAGTCTCCACAAGAGCATTGAGGGGATGGTGGCACTGACGTGGCCCTGCAAGGCACCTGCAGCAGCTGTGCTGGGCCCTGGAGTGACTCTCCCAGCTGGGTGCCAACCTGTTCAGAAGAGATCAGAGATTCTGGGCAGCTCAGGTTTTGGGGATCTGGGGGATTTTCAGAGGTGGGTGCCCAGCATTTCTTAAAACCAGAACCCTTCAAAGTGTCTCCACATGGGCCCCCAGAATGGAGCCCTGCCCCAACTCATTCGTCATTTATGGAGCAGGGACCTTTGGCCTCAGAACCTCTGTTTCCAGAGCCCAGACCCTAATCCAGCCGCAGGGAGGGCCAGGGTCAAACCAGAGACAGAGTCCCCAGAGCTGCAGGAATTGGCTGCCCTGGGCTGTTCCTGGAAGGCCTGGGGTGTGTGCGGGGCCCAGGTAGGAGGTGGCCTGAGGCGCGCCAGGGAGCAGGTGTGTTGTGTGTCATTTGCATAGAACCCTCGCTCTGCGCTCTGCATTGCGTGGGGCTACTGAATTCATACGCTAATAGCAGCAGCCTGAGTCGAGAAATAAAGCTAAAGCAAGCACTGCTTTTGTGCTGGTTGGATAAATCTCCCTGCGCCGCACCAGGGGAGGCTGCGTTCAGCGCTCAGAAAAATGAGCAGTTGGTTGTATCTGCAAGAAACTAGAGTGGGCAGCTCCTGGGCAAGCTTAGCTCTACCAGTCCCAGCTGGCATCCCCCCAACCCTCTGCTCCACCAGTGCCTCTCACACCCAGCCTGGAGGCCCCCTGCTATTCCAGGCCTGCGGTCCCACCCAGCTTTTGCCAAAGCAGCTCAATCCTGACCTGAAACTTGCCCTATGGCAGGTCCAGCTCCCAGCCCCAGTGTCTTTGCTGAGCGTCTCCATGGGGAGCTCAGCACTCCCTGCTACAGTCCTCCCATGACAGTTCTGCCAATGCACTTCAGCCCCATCCGTAACACTCCAGATGTTCTACTTCTGAGCTGCCAACACCCAGCCATGCTGTGGTGCCATGGGGCTTGTGAGAGGAACTCAGACGCAGAAGGGGAAATAGGCAGCGGATACCAATTGGCTCCAAGATAATATGGCAACTTTCCCAAATGGCAGGACAGGCACACAAGTGCTGTAGGTGTGACCCTCGTGTGGAATACAGCAGCCAGGCAGCATTATCTGGACAGAGCAGGGAAGAGATCCCGTCATGCCTCAGGAGAGAGGAAGAAGGATTGAACCTGGATACTTTAGCAGCAAAAGCACAGGCTTGAGCTGCAGGGAGGAGCTGGGACAAAGCCAATTTTCAGCATATTGCCCCAGTGTCCCAGGCCTAGAAAAGGGAGTGAGCAGGGAGGTGGTAACATCTGCAGCTGACACCAAGTTCCCTTGACTTGAGAAAAAGGTCAGGAAAGTCAGAGGCACCCAACCAATCAGGGTGAACTGGTAACACAATGGCAAATGAAACTCAGTGTTGTCGATTGCAAGGAAAAGCCCATTGGAAGGAATAATCCGACCTACTGATGCCCATTGTTCAGGTTCCAAATTAACCGCAGTCCCTCAGGAAAGAGCCACGTGCTCAAAGTGCAGGGAGTAGGCAGAAAAGCAAACAAGGACCCAGATCACTGACTGGTGTGAACCGACACACACCACAGCTGGGACTGGTGTGAACCGACACACACCACAGCTGGGACTGGTGTGAACCGACACACACCATGGGTGGGACTGGCGTGAACCGATCCACACCACCGGTGGGACTGGTGTGAACCGACACATACCGTCGGAGGGTTTGGTGTGAAAAGACACACACGCCAGTGAGACTGGTGTGAACCAACACACACCCTGGAGGGTCTGGCAGACAGTGTTAAGATGCACAGACAGGTATGGTAAGTAGCACTGCAAATCTTCTAATACTTTTATATAGATCAGTGGTTCACCCTCACCTGGACTAATGTGTCCAGTGTCGGTAACCCTGTCTCAGAAAGGACATAGCAGCACAAGTGAGGTTCAGAGACAGGTGACAAAAGAGAGCAGAGGCCTAGAGCGATTTCTATATGAGGAGAGTTTGAAAAGACCAGTCCTCTTTAATTTAGGGAACATGACAGTGAGATCCAAACTAAGGTAAACCAACTGCTTCTCTCGACCTTGTCTCAGGGGACATCCAGAGAAACTCAAAGGCAGCTCCTTGAGAGGTTGTTTTTCACACAATATGGTTTAGCTTGTGGAACTCATTGCCACAGCCTGCCACGGAGACAGGAGCTTGGTGGAATGTCAATAGCTAATGCGTGAGACCATCCACAGTTACATGAGAGAGGCAAAAAAGTGTATATAAAACCTCCTGCTTCAGAGAATAAACCAACCACTGACAGGGCTACGCAGACACTTCCCTTAAGGCCCGGTTATTCCACCATTGTCCAGTAGGGGATTCTTGCACCTTCCTCTGAAGCAGCTGGTGCTGACCATGGCTGGAGACTGGGCCAGCTGGATGACTGGACTCTTTGCCTGAACTGGCATGGCACCCCATGTGGCCAGTCTCCTACAGACACAAGCATCTTTCTCTACTAGGCACAGTTTGCAACACCCGGTGCTGCAGTGCTCAAGGCGTTTGACACATTCCAGTGTAGCACCCCAGTACCTACGCACTGGTTACCCTGGCCTTGCCAAACTCTGGGCAGGCTCCCAAAGAGAAGTGGGTGGAGGGAGTTAGCACCCAGGGGAGAGCAATCGGGCACTGACAAGGCTGGCAGCTGGAAGAGAGGCACCACAGATGGCAGGGCCTGCAGTGCCCTCTGTGCCCCGGGATCCTCTCCAGAGAGCGCTCTCATCCCCGTCAATTAATTTTATTTTATAATTCATTAGCTCTATGGCAGCAGTACCCCTAGAGGCCCCAGCTAAGGTCAGGGGGCTGTCCTGCTGCGTGCTGCACAGACACATGAGAGACAGGCCCTGCCCCAAAGACCTGGGGCGTAACGTGACACGCTGGTGCACGTGGGTTACAGGGCCTGGCGCACAGCCTGAGCTTGGCACAGTATTTAGGCAGGTTTAGCAGCTCAGCCAGCATCACCACACTAACACCTGCCTTACCCCTTACAAAGGAAAAGGGGAGCGAGATGGACAGCGCCCCCATCTGGCCTAGGGCCTCAGGATTTAAAGGGCTGCTGCTGGAAGGTGGCAGCTGCTGCTCCTGTGGACAAGGCACCCTGACCTTACCAGGGCCTTGGCTGGTTTGGTTAAAACTTCGGCTTTAACTCCACCAGCTGCCTTGGGTTAAAGTCCCACTGCTGGTCTCCCTGTGCTAATCCACCCTTTCAGTCCTCATCTAGATGCAGCCTGGAGGGCAGCAGCGGTGACCCTCATGCTGTGCTCTGACAGCGAACAACCCTGAGCTGGGCAGATGGTCAGAGCGCAGGCCCCTCGCCCAGGCACTGGCCATCTCCCACGAGCAGCGTCACCAGCCCTCGCAACTTCTTCACCACCACGTGGGTTTGCTGCCAATGCCAGCCCTGCGTGGGGGAAACCCCCTCTGATTGGCTGTCTTCCCCACTGCCCTGCCTACTGGGGAAGAACAGCCAATCATGGGTGCTGCAGGAAACTGGCAGCACTCTACCCCCTTCCCTCAGGAGCCAAGAACCCAGTTCTGACAGGAAGGGAGGGAAAAGGAGCAGAGAGTCAGCAGCTCAGGGCAGCCCTGCTCCCTCCGTTCACCTCCTCCTGTGAGCAATGGGGACAGGACGGGACCTCTGCCCCATTGCCCTTCCCTCAGCAGGACACACCTGGGAAGGGGGCTGAAGAGCCCCTGGAGTCACACACACCAAGCCTGGAATGGGCAGAGGGGACCCTACTGCAGCCCCCCCAAGCATGGGAGAGGGAGGAGAAGAGCCCCTCAAGGAACAGAGCTGAGAGGGTGCAGGGCAGAACTGATGTGGGGCAGATCAGTTGCTGGACCAGGGTGGGCAGACATGGGGGTGGTTGCTGCTGAAACAGGGGCCAGAATCACTGAAATATCAGGGCTATAAAATGAGTGCTGGCTGCACTGATCATCACCCACACCCGTGTGCGGGGCGGGCCATCCTCAGTCAAAGACAGACCAAACCCACAATATCATGGTCTTTTAAATCACATGATTTTGGGCCAGTCTCCTGAGTCTGGAGTCTGACTCATGACGTTTGAACCTGTGGGGTTGGCCATGCTGCAGGAGGCTCCTGGTCTCAGCTGCACAGACTGGGTGCTCTCCTGGGGACTCAGCAGCTGCCTCCTTTGGATGGCATTGGCATCACCAAGGCATGCCCCAGAATGCATTGCAGGCCCCAGATAAGGGAGCCCACTGAGGTTGGAGAGAGATAAGGAACCTACCTGTGCCTTGGGTGACCAGACAGCAAGTGTGAAAAATCGGGATGGGGGTGGGGGATAATAGGTGTCTATATAAGACAAAGCCCCAAATATCGGGACAGTCCCTATAAAATCGGGACATCTGGCCACCCTACCTGTGCCCCACCCTGAGGCTTGGGGGTTTAGGCTGGAGATTCTCCCCGCAGGGCACCCTATGGTTCTGGGTGTGTACGTGAGAGAGAAGAACCGAGGGTAACTTTTTCCAAGCACAGGGGAATGAGCACAATGCGGATGGGGGAGCTGAGCAGCAGGAACCCTTCATGAGGAGCCTACAAACAGGTGCTCTGGGGAGGGGCTGAACTGACTTGCTGCTGGAGCCATCAGACTAGAGCCAGAATTTCCAAGGGCTCAACACCTGCAATTGGGGGCAGCGTTCCAAAGAGCTCAGCTCCCCTTTAGATGCCAAGATAAATGGTTGGACTTTCAGAAGAGCCCAGCGCACTGTGGTGCATGTTGGCTGCTGAGCCCTTGAAAAGCTGGCCCCTTGTGCCTCAGTTTCCCACCTGTACAATGGGGATAATAGTAAGGTACTTAACCATCTTCATACAATGCTTTGAGACCCTTGGCTAGGAAAAATAAAGCCTTGTCTACATTACCACTTACTTTGGCGTAACTTATGTCTCTCAGGAGTGTAAATAAGCCACCCCCCGAGCGACGAAAGTTGCAACGACCTAAGTGCCGGTGTGGACAGCGCTTCTCCCACCAACATAGCTACCACTTTCGGCGGAGGTGGAATTATGCTGATGGGAGAGCTCCCCCAGGGGCATACAGCATCTTCACCAGACGTGCCACAGCGGCGTAGCTGTGCTGATGTAGCACTTCTAGTGTAGACTAGCCCTAAGTAAGTGCAAAATATTCGTATTATTTTACTGAGTGACTTGCCCAAAGTCACACAGCAGGTCAATGGCACAGCCAGGAACAGTCCCCAGAAGTCCTGGTTCCCAGACTCTGTCTCTAACAAGCTGAATGCCGTTCTCATTAGGGTTCAGTTCTCTCTTTCTCCACAATGAAAGGAAATGAATGAACATGCACGGGTAGCATTTTGCTTGTATTTATTGCTAACGTGCATTAGAAAAATTCCCAATAGCCCAAGCGAAAATGTTCCAAGACATAATCACGAACAAACAAGAGAAATAATTTCCCTGGCCTGCAGGCAGCGCTCGTCAGCGAGGCTACCCCAAGAGAGTGCATCTGAACGCATAATAGCAGCAGCGGCTGATGTGGATGCCGACGAACACCATGGTGATGAGGACATAGCTTGTGAGGATGGCCTTGATGGCATATCTCGTCTCAGGGTCATCGAGGGTTCGCTTACGGTCACCTTGGAACCGCACGGAGAGCCGGAAGCCAGCAACCATTTGCCCCTCACGCCAGCAGTAGTAAGTGCCCCTGTCGTCCAGCTGGGTAAATCGAATGTGCAGGTGGTTGCCATGGTCAATGAAGACCCGCATGCTTTTGTTGACCCCAGTGAGGAAGCTGGTGCGGTACAGTCGAGTTGAATCTTTGTCCCACGCCACTGCATGCTCTGGCCTGGCCCCGGGGCAAGCAATTATCAGACCGCTGCCGAGGTGTTGCTTGTGGAACTGAATGGGGACTTTGGGCAGCCAGGGTTTCTGGCCAACCTTTGCAATGAGATTGGAGATGGACAGCACTCCTTCCTCGGGGCCCTTTCTCTTTACACAAGGCGTCAGGCAGCTTCGGATGACAACCTCAGGCTTCCTGAGCCGGATGGTGCCCTGGAAGCGCCTAGGGACAGATCTTGAGCCACAGGACACCACGTCTGTCGGGACTGTGCGGTACCTGGGGTAGAGGTAGGCGCTTTTCACGTAGCAGAGACCAATTCTCCATTGCTCACCTCTCACTCCACAGCGGTCACACTTGGTCCAGTCCCAGAAGGTGGTGAACACGCTGAAATGCTCTTCTGTATGATCCTTCTGTGGGTGCTGGTTCCTGTCCTCAAAGGCCACAGTGATGGCCTTGGAGGACTGCACATCCACATCATAGCCATAGAAGAAGTCCCCTTCCTTGGTACCACAGAGATAGTGGCCTGAATCCTCCACCTGGGCCCGGAAGATGATGAGACTGAACATCCTAATGCTGAAGCGCTTCAGCATGTGGCTGCCCACACGGATGTGGCCTGAGTCCAAGAACATGGTTCCATCGAAGTCTGTTAAGACCTTGGTCTGCCGGCTGCCCATGCTCTTCTGGAAGTACCACACGACTGAGGTGACTTCCTCTGGCTTGCACTTACAAGGGAGCTCAAAACTCATGTCAGCCAAGTAGGCAGCATTGTCAAACATCAGGAAGGCTGGGCAGGGTGTTTTCTTGAATACATCTTCCTTCTCCATGATTGCAAAGGCATGGAGAACATCTGCCATCCCAAGGAGAATGGCAATTCCAACCAGCCTCATCTCCATTAGCCAGTCTAGATCCTCAATCAAGCAGTGTGATGGAACGGCATCAAACCATCTCAAGATCCTTACTGATCCTCTTGTCACTAAGGTTAACAGCCAGAGAACAGCGCTGGGGCAAAGATGATTTTAATACGTTTCACTATATAAGTATGGGTTTTGTAGTCGAGTTTGGCAGTAGACTCTCCCCTCTGGAACTGCTTTGGTTGATGGGAGAAGGTAGATAGCAGTTGGGATTATCTCATCACGGCCAAATGCTTGCTGGGGAAGCTATTGTAAAAGGTGAGTGTACTGTTTGAAAGAACTTCGTGTTTGTCCTGTGCTGAAGGTTCAAGGCTATCGACTGGGTGTTCAGAGACATTAACTCTAGAACCTTCTATTTTTGTCTCACGTCGGTTCTAGAATGTGAACACTGCCCTGAGAATGGGCGTCTCAGGAAAGAAACAAGCCCTCGCAGCCCAAAGCATGTTACAGGCATGTACACAAAGGTACCACGGAAACGCAGCCACCTCTGAGTGGAAGGCAACAGCCATATAAATCATTGGCACACAGCACAACTGTGGGATGTGGCAGGGCACCTCCCATGCCTCACCGGCCTCTGCGTTACTCCCAGGCAATGGGGGCTGGAATAAACCAGTCTGACTCTGGAAGGTTTTCCTCTTCACTCCTGTTCTATTTTCCCTTCTTATACGGTGGGCCTCACGGTAGGCCCAAGAAGTCCCTTTCAGCAAAACAACAGAGTCCCCCAGTGCAAACAGAAAAGCTTTCCCTGCCTCTTCTTCCCGGGTGCTACCGTACTACACAGGATCCTACTAGCCAGGGTTTCCCCAAGCAGCGTTATCTTTGTTTCTTTCCCTATAGGGAGGGGAGACTGCTTTCCAGCCAGAGGAAGCTTTTCCTTCCTCCTTCCCCCCGCCCTTGCCCCGGCTGCAGCCTGTCTCTCATCTCTCCCCTCCCCTCTCTCACCAGAAAAGGGGGTTTTAAAGGTCACTGGAGCCCTTAACTGGGCCCAGGTGTCTCTAGTTAACTTGAGGTCACCCTTTTTCAGCTCGTAGGGAACAGGGCCTTCATCATTTTAGGGCTGATAGATCTGCCCTCCACCACTCTATCCTGCCCAGAATATCAGGGCAAACATTGGTTGTGAACACTGATGCAGAGCAGACAAGACCTCCATTGTTTAATGTTTTGGTTGACATTGGATCCCATGTACCCCTCTGGGAGAGATGGATGGGGAGGGCTCAGCACTGTCTGGATTTGACCCCATGGTTCCAGGGCGTCTTGGGATTTCAAACCAGACACTTAGGCCATTAAGCTCTCCCTGCCTTCAGCTTTCCAAAAGCTAGAGCTGGGGGCACTGGATTTCATAGAGTCATAGATTAGGGTTGGAAGGGACCTCAGGAAGTCATCTAGTCCAACCCCTGCTCAAAGCAGGACCAATCCCCAACTAAATCATCCCAGCCAGGGCTTTGTCAAGCCTGACCTTAAAAACCTCACAGGAAGGAGATTCCACCACTTCCCTAGGTAACGCATTCCAGTGCTTCACCACCCTCCCAGTGAAATAGTTTTTCCTAATATTCAACCTAGACCTCCCTCACTGCAACTTGAGACCATTGCTCCTTGTTCTGTCATCTGCCACCACTGAGAACAGCTGAGCTCCATCCTCTCTGGAACCCCCCTTCACGTAGTTGAAGGCTGCTATCAAATCCCCCCTCATTCTTCTCTTCCGCAGACTAAACAAGCCCACTTCCTTCAGCCTCTCCTCCTAAGTCATGTGCCCCATCCCCCTGATCATTTTTGTTGCCCTCCGCTGGACTCTCTCCAATTTGTCCACATCCTTTCTGTAGTGGGGGGCCCAAAACTAGACGCAATACTCCAGATGTGCCAAATAGAGGGGAATAATCACTTCCCACAATCTGCTGGCAATGTTTCTACTAATGCAACCCAATATGCTATTCACATACAGGGTATGGGACTTGGGAAGACCGGGCTGGTGGCTCCCACCCTGAGCAGAGCTCAGCTGCTTGCCCCGGCTGGTCTGGTTAGGATGGGACTTCCTCTTCCTCTGCACAGCATCCAGGGCGAGGTCAGACCCACCCCCAGATTTCCACCCCAGCTCCAGGAAGCTCTGCAAACTCCCCTCCCCACAACTCCCTGCTTCCTGTACACATCACACCTCAGCTGCAGGGGGAGAGATCACTGTATGGGGAGCTTCTCCCCCATCCAGCCCACCCCTATGCATCCAGACCCCCTCATACCCAGACTCCCCACCTGCGCCGAGCCTCACCCCCTGTGATGTTATTGACAGGAACTGTGACCGTACAGATCATTGTTGCAACCAGGGTCCTATGGTTGCACCAGGTCTTGTACAGAGGAGGTCCAGTGGGGTGTCCATGGAAAGGTTATAGTTTGCTGGTTATGATTATGCTGTCTGTATTTGTGCATCATTTTTGTATTCAAAGTTATGAGTATTGGCTATGCACTTGTTTGATTCTAAGTAGTCTCAGTGAAGCATTTTCTCAGCTTCTTGAGAAAGGACTATTCTCAGTAAGTGCCCAATCAAGAAACATTTAACAGACAATGGACTTTGGGAGATGCCAATCCACATCTGAGCTTTCCTGTTCAAACTAACATGTAAACAGTGGCACTGGCCTGCAAAAAACTGAGTCATGCATGAACATCTGACTTGCCCAAGTGGCTACAGACTCCATCTTGTTGTGATTTTGCACAGGAGAACAGAGGGGTTTCCACCCACAAGAGAGAGAATATAAAAGGCCCTGGAAACCCCTCCATTTTGTCTTTAGCTGGCTCAGAAGATAGCCTCTCCACCGCAAAGAGATGCCTGAAAGAAACTGGAACAAAGGACAGTAACTATGGAGGTGTGAGTGACTGCTGGACCCAGACTAGGAAGGAATCTAGTCTGTGAAAGAAGCTTATTGGAACATCTCTGAGGGCGAGATTTACCTGCATTTAGTTTCCTACTGTATTAGGCTTAGACTTGCGTGTTTTTGTTTTATTTTGCTTGGTAATTTACTTTGTTCTGTCTGTTATTACATGGAACGACTTAAATCCTACTTTTTTATATTTAATAAAATCACTTTTTGCTTATTAATTAACCCAGAGCAACTAATTAATACCTGGGGGCGCAAACAGCTGTGCATATCTCTTTATCAGTGTTATAGAGGGCGAACAATTTATGAGTTTGCCCTGTATAAGCTTTATATAGAGTAAAATGGATTTATCTGGGGTTTGGACCCCATTAGGAGCTGGGTATCTGGGTGGTGAAGACAGGAGCATTTCTTAAGCTGTTTTCAGTTAAGTCTGCAGCTTGTGGGGGACATGGTTCAGACCTGGGTCTGTGTTTACAGCAGGCTAGTGTGTCTGGCTCAACAAGACAGGGTACTGAAGTCCCAAGCTGCCAGGGAAAATGGGCTCAGAGGTAGTCCCAGCACATCAGGTGGCAGTCCAAAGGGGGTTTCCGTGACCTAACACATCACACGCCCCCAGAACCCCACCTGTCAAGCCCCACTCCCCCTGAACATGGACCACCCCAATGAGTCACCCAAAGCCAGATCCCCACCCCACCGAGCCCCAACCAGCTGCACCTGGATCCCCATGCCACTGAGCTCCACTCCCCCCAGCATCTGGACCCCCACACCAGACCCACATGCCAAGCTTTATCCCGCCCACACCCAGAACTCCCCCCCCCCCGCTGAGCCCCAACCACCTTCATCTGGACCCCCCTGTAGAGTCCCATTACCGTTGCACCCAGAACCCCCAACAAACCCCTGTGCCTCCAGATCCCCCCCACACCCAGATCCCCCACTGAGCTCCCCGCACCCAGATTGCCCCATACAGAACCCTCTCAATCCACACCGGGATCCCCCCTCACTGAGCCCCTCCACACTTGGATTCTGCTGGGCTGAGCCTGCCTGCCCACACCTGGTGCACCTGGCATGGAGAGGCAGGGCCCTGGGGTGTTTCTTGGGCAGGCCCAGTCCTGATACTGTGTCCCGGGGGGAGCTGCAGAGTGATCTCCCACGTCTGTGCAGCCAGTGGCCTGTGCTCCCCAATTCCATGCTGGAGCCTCCACATTTATCTGACAAATAAAATTTGCAGAATTTTTAATTTTTTGGTGCAGAATGCCCTCAGGAGTATGACTGTGGAAATTAGCAATGTACATTCCATATATTTATTCCAGGTTCTGTTTAAGCAGGGCGTCAGATCAGTCCTAGATATGGCTGTACACATGAACCCATTCCACACTTGGCGGTTACTGTTTAACTATTATAATACAGCTGCTTATGTTTCTAAAATCCCCTGTTGACCAAGAACGCGTGGCCAGAGAAAAGAATAGAGGGGGATTCATCTTCTCCCACTAATACTAGAGTGATATTTCCCATCCCCAAACAATATATTCAATACAGTACTACTGATTCACAGCAAGTGTTGTCTCCTGTGTGATGGCCCCTCCCCCAAGATAATCCTTTTGGTGACTAATATTTATTTGTACCAGGCCATTCTTCTAGGTAGGTGAAGCAGGTACAAAGTAAAACTCAATCAACAACTTTCTGTAGAAAACGGGTCTCTCACTGTCCCTCCATCTTTGATAGAGCAGTACAGGAAAGGTCCCTCCTGGCCCTCAGCTCCTATAATCCTGGTGGAGCGTGAGCTGTAGCGGGAGCCTGTGCTCCTTCAGCTAACGCAGTAACATTTCACCAGCTCTTTAATTAGTCTGTCATCTGCCTCCTTTTGCTGGCCAGCCCCCCTCAGATGGGTTTCTCTCTCAGCCTCATTCTGCTCTTCCTGCAAAGCAGCTGTACCTGCTTCAACTGTGCCCTCGGGAAGGCCATCAGCACCACAATTCCTGCCCATGCGCTGTAGCTTCCCGAACAAGTCCCTGCAGCTATCCTTCTCCACCTGGCTCAGGAGAGCCACATTTAGTCCAAAGCGCTTGGTCCCAGAAAGGCTCTGTAATATCTGAAGGACAGCTTCTCTGTCTTCCCTACAGGCATGCTCGGCCAGCACCACAAGAAATTCACCCAGGAGGCCAAAGCCAACATCAGCTTGAAAGATTCTGCCCAGGTCCTTACCGCCGAGCTGAAACAGGAACTGGTATCTTTCCTGTCCACTTTTCAAGCATCTGCGCCAATATCTGTAAAAGTCTGCAGACGTTTCAGGGAGTCCATCCCATCCCTGGATGAAAAAGATGGTCAATAACAGTTACATAAAACAGGTGCAGAATCCCACCAGCTGGTGGGGGTTGGGAGCAGAATTCCCTCTGGACAGGTCATTCCATAACTGGTAACTGAAAGGCTGTCCTATCACTGAGTTTAATTCGTAAAGTCAAAATGGCTTTGCCACTCAAGTTTATGGTAAGTATGAGTGAGAGTGGGTGAGGGTGTGTGTTGTGCTGGTAGATTTTTTTGATTTGTGCAGTAGGTGAATGAGAGGTATGGGCTGTGGTGAGGGGCTATGTGTGTTAGGGGTTATTGTGTGTGCTGGTTGTGATGTTGTGTCTGGAGGAGTTGTGCTGGGAATTTGTGTTGATTTGTATTTGAGGGATGGTGCAGGGAGATTTGTGTTGAACAGCATCTGAGGGAATGCTGGGAGATGTGTGTCGATTTGTGTATGTAGCAAATGAGGGGTTGTATGCTGTGGTGAGTGTGGTGCTATGTGTTTGGGCTTGTTGTGTTGATTTGTGTGTGGATGATGCTGGGAGATTTGTGTTGATTTGTCTGGGTATGTGTGTTATGGTGGGGAGTTTGCACAGATTTGTTGGGGAGTTTATGTAAAGTTATATGGGTGGCAATTCAACCTTTGAAGAACTGTGGCAACTGGTCCAAGTAATTCACCATCTGTGCAGTCTCCCTTATATCACTCATTACAACCAATGAAACTGTTGTATGCAAATTACATGTAGCATAAGGGTACTGATTGGTTGAGTTAGCTCTCATATCACAATGGCTAGAACTCTTGGCATGGCATAGACAAATGCATGCCTTGCTGTCACATGGGTGTAATTCATAGCATCAGAATGGCTGAGGACTAAAAAACTGGAGAGTAACAGACCAGCAATCCGAGGGATGACTGAACAAGCTGATATTCTAAACAAAAAGAGCTTTCAGCCATGCTTGTGGCTGTTTCCACCATTTCACACTGACTCAGAAGACATTCTATGCTTCAGAGTGACACCCAGATGAATCCTGGAATATTATTATATAGATTGTTCCCTAGGGGCTGCTTTGCACTTTCCTCTGATGCAGCTGGTCCTGGCCATTGTCAGAGATAAGATGTAGGACTAGATGGACCGTTGGTCTGATCTACTGTGGTGATTCTGGAGATTTCTTTTACTGCTTGTCTACACATTGTGCTAAAGCTATTGTGCTTTAAAATTCACCCCCGCCAACCAAATTAACTTTTAAGTGTAGACAAGCCCTCATCAGCTCAATCCACTTTGGAAGTAGATTAAACTAAAGCAGAACAAGGTACTCATATTCTGGAATAAGTGTTCATACATGGAATTATTCTGGAATAGCTATTGCATTTTAAATTCACACCCTACCTTAATTTGAATTAACTTTTGTGTGTAGACAAACACTAATGGAGTTTTCCTCCTCACCTGGGCTAGCTCCATCTCTCTGTCCTGCTTGCCATTAGCTTGGGTAGCATAGGAATTCCAAAGAAGGTTTTTCTTTTTTCCCATTTTGTCCTTTTTCTCTAGAGGTTTCAGGTGTGATGCTAGCACAATATCCCTGCAGGAAATATAGAGGGAGCAGTAAACCCAGCAAGAGCAAATATCCTCTTGAAATTAGCGCCATTTCCAGTTTGATTCCTCTCTGTGAGACTGGCACAGTCACTGAGTTTGTAGTGCAAAGTTCTACCATGTAAAAGATCTGGGTTCAAATCAAGATCACAAAATCTCTTGTGGCCAGATTATATGTTCCCAGTTACTGCTTACTACTACACAGACTAACATGCAAGAGATCTAATTCCACTTCTCAAGTCTGATCTCTCATACTCTGAAACCTGTCATCCCAGAATGAAAAGGGGCTAAGGGCACTGTGACAGAGAGTCTGGACCTCTGTCCCTAACTGATAGTTCCTAACGACAGAGAGGGAGAGAGCGAGTGTGTGTCAGAGACCTGCATACTGGTCTATGAAATGAGGGTTCAAAGTGGTAGTTAAGCCTTTGGAAAGGAAGCTATTACTCATCCTTACAGATCTTTGTATCCTCATTGGGGTATCTCTAAGGTCTGGTATACACTACAGAGTTAAGTCGATGCAAGGCAGTTTACATCAACCTCACTACGGAAGTGTCTACACTTAAATTTCACTCCTGCTGATTTAACAGCCCAGGTCCACTGACTTAATAACTCCACCTCTGTGAGTGGCATAGAGTCAAGGTCGATGTAGTTAGGTCGATGCAGTGTCAGTGTAGACACTTTTCAGAGTAGCAGCCGTGTTAGTCTGTATCCGCAAAAAGAAAAGGAGGACTTGTGGCACTTTAGAGACTAACCAATTTATTTGAGCATGAGCTTTCGTGAGATACGTGCATCCGATGAAGTGAGCTGTAGCTCACGAAAGCTTGTGCTCACATAAATTTAGATACAAATTAGTAGACACTGTACTGCTTACGTGAACTGTTACTGGCTGTGAAACACTGTCCCACAATGTCTCACACTGACAGTATAATCGATTCAAGCACTCCTGGTGAGGATGCACATTGCCGACACAAGAAGCAAAGTGTAGACATGCACAAGTGATGTAATTACTGCAACAGCTGTATGCTGACATAAGTTAGGCCCACTTAAATTTGTAGTGCAGATATGGCCTTAGAGAAAGCAGGAAGCTTGAGCCCTTATTGCATGTATAGAGCCTTCTCTACACTCCACAGTTTTGTCAACAAAAGTCAGCTTTCATCGACAAAACAGTGGAGGTGTACATACTGCAATGTTCCTCCTGCCGATGTAACTCCCTTGCTACACCAACATAATAAAACCAACTCAAAGAGAGGCATAGGGCTGTTTGCAACATGGTTAGAGTGACACAGCGTCAGTGTAGGTCCTGTGCTTGCTTGCGTTGCCCTAATTGGCCTCCAGGAGGTGTCCCACAATATCCATTATAACCACTCTCGTCAGCAGTTTGAACTCCACTGCCCTGAAGGTACACATGTGTGCACCCCTCCTGCATTTAAAGGCCCTGGAATTTTTGAAATTCCTCTTCCTGTTTGCTCAGCGGGGACAGTTCACACAGCATCTTCCCAGCTGACCATGCCGGCTTTCCACAGTAAACGCGCTCCCGCATGGAATACACTGTTGGATCTGTGGGGAGAGGAGGCTGTGCCGTGGCAGCTTTGCTCCAGCATAGGAACTTTGATATCTAGTATGATTAATGTTCAGAAAGCAAGCACCACAGGGATCATTCAAGGCAGCAAGTAAACATTGCCTGGCCGAATGCATCACTTAAAGCCACATTACTGGGAATAATTGTCAAAATGCTCCTTCAAAGCCTCCCTAATTTGAATACTCCCCCTGCTGTACCCCTCTTATTACCCTGGTATCTGGCTGCTCAAAATCAGCAGCCAGATGATCTACCTCAGTGCTCCACCCCTGAGGAAACTTTTCCCCCTTCCCTTTGCAAATGTTATGCAGCGCAAAACAGGCTGCGATAACTATTGGAATATTTTCCTCATTGAGGTCTAACCTGACAAAAAGGCAGCACCAGCGACCTTTTAATCAGCCAAAGGCACATTCAACAATCATTCAGCACCTGCTGAACTTGTTATTGAAGCACTCCTTGCTGCTGTTTAGGTTCTCAGTGTAAGGCTTTGTGAGCCATGGGACCAAGGGGCAGGCCGGGTCTCCCAAGATCCCTATGGGAATTTCCACATCCCCCGATTGAATCTTCTGGTCTGGAAAGTCCCAGAATGTAGCTTTCTATACAGTTCAGTGTTTCTAAAGATTTGAGCATCATGCACCTTCCCTGACCACCCTGCACTGATGTCAGTGAAACAGCCCCGGTGATCCACCAGCACCTGCAAGACCCTGGAGAAGTAGCCCTTCCGGTTCATATACTCTGTCACAAGATGGTCTAGGGCCAAAACTGGTACATACGTTCCATCTATCACTCCACCACAGTTAAGGAATCTCATTGCCTCAAAGCCATCAAGTATTTCCTGCATGCACATTACTGAGAGTCACAGTCCTTTGCAGCAGAAGGTAATTAATGGCCCTGCACACTTGCATCATCACAACCCTCATGGTGGACTTTCCAACTCTAAACTGATTCACGACTGAAAGGTAGCAGTCTGGAGTTGCCAGCTTCCACACAGTGATCACCACTCGCTTTTACACAGTGAAAGCAGCTCTCGTTTTGGTGCCCTTGCACTGGAGTGCTGGGGCAAGCTCCACACACAATTCCAGGAAGGTAGATTTGTGCATCCAAAAGCTCTGCAGCCACTGCTTATCATCCCAGACCTACATAACAATGCTATCCCACCACTCAGTGCTTGTTTCCTGAGCCCAGTACCGAAGGTCCATGTGCAGCTGCTCCATGAATGCCAGCAGCAATCTTGAATTATTTCTTTCCATGGCACACAGCAGGGCAGGTACCACCAATTCACTTTCTGATTCACAGCTTATGAAATACTGCAGGACCAGCTGCATTGTGTTCATAACACTCATTACCAGACGGGTGAGCAGTTCAGGATCCATGCTTTCAGGCAGAGATGAAGGGCACACAGTTAACAAGGGCTATTGAAAAACATCATGAAACAAAGTTGGAAGCCCATGGAATGATAGGACAGAAAGAACTGCATCATGGGATGGTAAGCACGTCCCCATGATGCACTGCAATCCGTTCCCAGAGCTCCCAGAGGCAGAGAGGGGTGAGTTGCACAGTGGGATAGCCTACCAACAATGCAACACTTTCTCTGTTGATGCAAGAGCACTGACTGTGGACACACTCTGCTGACACAAGGAGCGTTGTGTGGACACGCACAACCAAAGCGGCTTATGATCATCAATGTAACTTAAGTCAACTTAACTCTGTAGTGTAGACATGGCCTAGGTAACTGGAGAAAACTGATTCGGAGAACAGGGGTGGGTGCCCAAGATCAGGGGAGGTGTATGCAGGTATGCCAGCTGGTACAGATGGAGGGTATTGATAATAAAAATCTCCAGACACAGAATGGCCTTGGTAACTAGTCATAGATTTTAAGGTCAGAAGGGACCATTATGATAATCTAATCTGACCTCCTGCACAATGCAGGCCACAGAATCTCACCCACCCACTCCTGTAACAAACCCCTAACCTATGTCTGACACTAAACTGGGAAGAGAGGTAGATACGCTGGAGGGTAGGGATAGGATACAGAGGGACCTAGACAAATTAGAGGATTGGGCCAAAAGAAATCTGATGAGGTTCAACAAGGACAAGTGCAGAGTTCTGCACTTAGGACGGAAGAATCCCATGCACCACTACAGACTAGGGACCGAATGGCTAGGCAGCAGTTCAGCAGAAAAGGACCTAGGGGTTACAGTGGACAATAAGCTGGATATGAGTCAACAGTGTGCCCTTGTTGCCAAGAAGGCCAATGGCATTTTGGGATGTATATGTAGGGGCATAGCCAGCAGATTGAGGGATGTGATCGTTCCCCTCTATTTGACATTGGTGAGGCCTCATCTGGAGTACTGTGTCCAGTTTAGGGCCCCACACTACAAGAAGCATGTGGAAAAATTGGAAAACGTCCAGCGAAGGGCAACAAAAATGATTAGGGGACTGGAACATATGACTTATGAGGAGAGGCTGAGGGAACTGGGATTGTTTAGTCTGCTGAAAAGAAGAATGAGGGGGGATTTGGTAGCTGCTTTCAACTACCTGAAAAGGGGTTCCAAAGAGGATGGATCTAGACTGTTCTCAGTGGTAGCTGATGACAGAACAAGGAGTAATGGTCTCAAGTTGCAGTGGGGGAGGTTTAGGTTGGATATTAGGAAAAACTTTTTCACTAGGAGGGTGGTGAAACATTGGAATGCGTTACCTAAGGAGGTGGTGGAATCTCCTTCCTTAGAGGTTTTTAAGGTCAGGCTTGACAAAGCCCTGGCTGGGATGATTTAGTTGGGGATTGGTCCTGCTTTGAGCAGGGGGTTGTACTGGATGACCTCCTGAGGTCCCTTCCAACCCTGATATTCTATGATTCTACTGAAGTCCTCAAATCATGGTTTAAAGACTTCAAGGTGCAGAGAATCCTCCAGCAAGTGACCTGTGCCCCACACTGCAGAAGAAGGTGAAAACCCCCAGGGCCTCTGCCAATCTGCCCTGGAGGAAAATTCCTTCCCAACCCCAAATATGGTGATCAGCTAAACCCTGACCATGTGGGCAAGACTCACCAGCCAGACACCCAGGAAAGAATTCTCTGTAGTAACTCAGATCCCACCCCATCTAACATCCCATCACAGGCCATTGGGCACATTTACCGCCTATAGTCAAAGACCAATTAATTGCCAAAATTAGGCTATCCCATCATACCATCCCCTCCATAAACTTATCAGCCAGATATGTCTTTTGCCCCCACTGCTCCCCTTGGAAGGCTGTTCCAGAACTTCACTCCTCTGATGGTTAGAAACCTTTGTCTAATTTCAAGTCTAAACTTCCTGATGGCCAGTTATGGCTCTTGGGGGTGGGGGTCTCTGCCAAAAATGCCATGCAGCTCTTTGTAAAAGAGGTATGGCTGCAGCTCCACACCAGAGTGACTG